TGCTGCATACGCTGTTTTGCCCTTACTCATGTCCTTGTGAGGAGAATAACCTCCGAGATTTAGCTGGATTCAGGCGCTCTGCCTCTGCTCGCTTGTCCCGAAGATAAACGGCCTCGGGCTTGGAGCCCTGATTCTGTGACTAAACAGTAATCACCTGTCAGCGTGAGCGCCTGTTTCCCCAGTGTAATCAATGGCACAACATCCAGCACAGAGCGCCAGGCGGCCAAGGGGGAAGGAGGTGGGCTCACTGGGCTTTGCCGTCCCACCAGAGGAGAAGGCTGGCTGCCAGAGAATAGCCTGGAAAGCCCCCGGCTTAAGGTGGGGAGACTGCGGAGAGGGACTCCTAGGACACGGCGGGCATCTGTAAGTGCAGGCCAGGAAGTTTTCAATCTCCAAACGCTAGGCCCTGCCAGAGGCCTGTTGTGGGGACTCACCACGAGGTCCCCCTGAATGTGACTTCCCCCAAAGGCTGCCTGGGGCCCGGCCACCAGCCACAGGCCCGGTGCTCCAAGGGAGGGTGACTGCAAGTCTGCGTGGCCGGTGCCCCAGCACCGCCTTTGTGTTTCTGCTGGGAATTTAAACTCCATGGGATTCTGCTCTAAGGAAGAGCTCTGCCCACGCCTCCCTCCCCTCCTTCCCTCCAGCCTTGGAGACACAGCAAGGAAGATGCCTGTCTTCGTTAGTCTCCACGAGCAGCTCAAAACCATGCGTCCACCACAGGTAGGGTAGTCAGGAACCTGAGAGAACTCTCACTTCATGGTGGGGAGCAGGGTTTTCACCAGATGCTGGGAAATAGGAAAAGACCCTTTTGTACTGATACAGGGATGTACATGTGTGGCTGATATTGTTGTTGTATTTTGTGACTACCTGGAGAAAAGCCAGTGCTTCCTTTTCCTTCCTGTGAAGTGCAGCTCCAAGGTTGGATCTACCGAACTTAATGTTCTTACCTGCTAAGAGCCATGCAAGTGTATTTGAGCCACCAACTTGTGAGACTAAGTTGTTTTTATAGAATACGTAGTTCTTATTTAAAAGTCTGTGTGATTTCTATCACAGAAGCACAATTTCCCCATGGCTGCTTCAGGCTCCTGCTAGTATGGTTGTTGTGTGCAAGAAAGCCAACTTCCTCAGCTATTAAAGCTGCCCCCAGGGCACTTCCCTGGCCACTGAAGTTAAGACTCTGCCTGCCAGTGCAGAAGGCACAGGTTCCATCCCTGGTCCAGGAAGATCCCACATGCCGAGGGCCAACTAAGCCTGTCCGCCACGACTGCTGAGCCCACACACCCTGGAGCCCAGCTCCACAGCAAGAGAAGCCTGCAACTAGAGAAAGCCCAAGCGCAGCAACGACGACCCAGCACAAAATAAATAAATAAATAATCAATCTAAAAATCTCACCCCAGGATAGACAAATTAGGGGTGTCGGATTAACAGACGATTATAGGGCTTCCCTCATAGCTCAGTTGGTAAAGAATCTGCCTGCAATGCAGGAGACCCTGGTTCAATTCTTGGGTCAGGAAGATCCCCTGGAGAAGGAAACAGCAACCCACTCCAGTATTCTTGCCTGGAGAATTCCCATGGACAATGGAGCCTGGCAGGCTACAGCCCATGGGGTCGCAAGACTCAGACATGACTTAGCGACTAAACCACCATCATATATAAAATAGGTAAGCAACAGGGATATACTATATCATGCAGAGAATTACACCCATTACCTTGTAATCACCTATCATGAGGTATAACCTGCCAAAATGCTGAATCACTCTGCTGTTCACCTGAAACTAACATAATCTTATAAATCAACTATACTTTGATTTAAAAAAAAAAGAAATCTCACCCCCAGCTGATCACAGTGTAGTAGCCAGCTTGGTACAAAGGAAAATCGGTAGAGAAAAATGTTCATAATATGCGCTGTCTCTTAGTCTCTTCTATTTCAATTGCTTTGAGAGAGAGAATAAGTACATGACATGCTGCTTGAGATAGGGTTAAGCCTATTTCTTCCATTTAAAAATGAGTTTAAGCTCCTCTCACCCTCTGGTCTATCAGTAAGGAAAGAGTTGACAGCCCTGCCCACAGTGACAATTGTTCTTAGAGTCCTTTGAAAGACCTGGTTTTATGGCCCGTCACGCTGAAGTTCCAGGGTGATTCACAACAAGGCTCTGTTGTGAGAGTAGCTTTTTCTGGTGGGAGACCCAAGGGTATAAGAATGGGGACCGCTGCCTCGGGGTTGAGTCGTGAGAGGGAGTGCAAGGCTGCAGAAGAGGAGGGAGAGGTGCCCACGTGACACCACCTTCCCTTGTTGAGCTGTCCCCTCACTCATCCTTCCAATCCTGCAAGGATAAGCTTCTTAATATACACGCTGAGAGATCTATTATCCTGCCCTAATTCTTTATGAAAAGTATCAGTTGAGCTGGCAGAAGGGAAATAATGAGGGGTAAACTATTTTCTTTTATATTTTTTTAATGTATTTTTATTTATTTGGCTGTACCGGGTCTTAGATGCAGCATGCAAACTCTTAGTTGCAGCATGTGGAATCTAGTTCCCCGACTAGGAATTGAACCTGGTCCCCATGCATTGGGAACATGGAGTCTTAGCCATAGGACCATCAGGGAAGTCTCTGAGGGGTAAATCTTCTGAAGAGGTCTTGAAGATCTGCCCATTCTTAGAGTAGGACCAGGCCCTGTCATAACGCCCCATGGCCTTGGGACTTGTCCCAGGTGATATGGTTCGAATCTTACAAGACCACCTTGATTTCTATGCAGCACTAAACGCAGATCCACCAGAGACGAGCATCTTGGCTGAGCTGCAGAGACTGCTGGGGAGAGGCCCAAAGACGCTGACTTGCAGAGCTCCCGCTGTCCTGACACTTACCTGCAAGTCATTCTCCTCCCAGCCCATTCCAGTCAGGTCCCTGAAGGAGAAGGTTATGGGTTTAGAAGTGAGGGACCGAATTTCCTGACAGTCTGTAAAACCTTCTGGCCACCTCTCCACCTGCTATTCACTGATTCAGCAAATAAGCATTGAGGACGTCCCTGCCATATGCCAAGCCCTGTGCTGGATTCTGGGGGATAGCTTCTGCCCTCATGAAAACTGTAGCCTAGGAGAAGGAAATGGCAACCCACTCCAGTATTCTTGCCTGGAAAAGTCCATGGACAGAGGAGCCTGGCGGGCTGCAGTCCATGGGGTTACATGACTGAGCATGTGTGCACGAGGGTGGAGGGAGATGGGTTGGTAGCAATAAAGTGGTAGAACTAAAAAAAAAGGAAAGAAAACTGTAGTCTAGAAAGGGAGCAGATGATAAATCAGTAAACAAATAATGAACAATACACTGACAGACTGTGGTCAGTGCCATGAAGGAAATAAACAGGATAAATAAACGACCTACAAAGAAACGAGGAGGGGTCATTCTATAGGGGAAAGACTTCTCTGCACCGGAGACATGTGAGCTGAGACCTCAGGGAGATGAGGAGTGGAGGGAGGGCATCCTAGGCAGAGAGGACGCAAAGATGCAGAAGAGCCTCGTCATGCTCAGGAGCAGAGAGACTGTGGCCAGAGAGGAGGGAGAATGGTTTGGGGGAGTTCAGAGAGGAAGCCGGAACTAGCTTATGCAGGGCCTTGAGGCCACGGTCAGAGTTTGGATTTTGTTCTGAGAGCAAGACAAGCCCCTTGCTGACAGTGTTATGCAGGAGCGATAATGTAATTAAAGATTACCATGTGCTCACTGCAGTTAAAAACTGTGAGGCATGTGTATATGTGCTGTTACAGGAAGAGTCACAAGAGACCCTATGTGGGGAAAAATCCCAAGAAACAGAATACAGTATAAAATATGCCACTGATTTTTTTAAAAAGAGAAGATGTATATGTATATATAGGCTTGCCTGGGTATAAAATATAACCACATTAAAGATACAAAGAAAAGAAGAAGAAGATCCAAGTTTGAGATGAACTTTTAGGAAGAGAACTTCTAACAGTGTATTTCAAATTGTAGGTCACAACTCAGGAGAGGTTCTGAAATTACCTTAGTGAAATCATAGATAGCACTTAAAATATCAACCTACATCTTGCGTAGTAAGGAGAGCATTTGTGAACGTTGTTTTAATTATGTGTGATATACATAACACATGTACACGTATATAAGTGACATATACACATATTCATGTACATATGCATACATGTGTTGGCTTGCAGTATAAAATGTTCTAAACTAAGTGTTACAGTTGAAAATGTTTGAAAAATACATCTTAAGGATCTTCATGGTGGAAAAGTTGAGAAATGTGACTTAGTGATTTTTCACTAAGTTTTCTTTACTTCTGTCTTAGTTTCCTCATCAGGCTTCTCTTCCAGATAATCCTCTTCAAATTAAAAAGAAAAAAGTCAAAACCAAAAAAAAAAAGAAAAAAGATACCCAAGAAGCTGGTAAGGGGTTGCTCCTGGAGTTGGGAACTGTAACACAGGGTGAGTGAGGTCCAAGGGAGACTTACTCTTCATAGTATGTGCTTTTGTATGGTTGAATATCTTACTGTGTGCCTGCATTATTTATTCAGTTAAAAAAAAAAAGTTTGTCTAAATGGTGGTCACCCTGGCCACCGTGTGGAGTGAGGGAGAGCCCAGAAGCAGAGGACCAGCTAGAAGGCTCTGGCCGGGTCCCCGGTGAGAGACGGTGATGGCTTCATCTGTGGGGTTGGTGATGGGGATGGAGACAAGCTAGACTCGGCATGTTCCACCCAACAGTCTCAAGGAAAGCTGTGTGCATTTGAGGAGGGGACTGGGCCTACCTGACTCTGTCTGCCTTCGCTGACATCTTTGTGGAATGAAGGGTTCTTGAGCTCCTTCCAGGTGCTAAAAGCTTCAGAATTCCCAAGAATGTTGAATCCATCACAACGTGGAGAACACTGTTATGGACATGTATCGCTTTCACATCCTCACGCAACTGTCACTTGTGACCTTTAATGACCATCAAAACACAGTTACACTCCGTTTCTCAGTGGAGCTTGCTTTCTTTGCAGAGAGATGCCAAAGGCCAATACCTGTTTGATCTGCTCTGCCACCACCTGAATCTACTGGAGAAAGACTATTTTGGGATCCGCTTTGTGGACCCTGATAAGCAGCGGGTAAGTCCATATTCAAAGCATGGATGGGGGAGAGGGTCAGTCGGTAAGCTTGAGGCCTTGTCATTCATGTTCAGAGCTTAGCCTCAGGAGTCAGGGGAGCAACTGGACCCTGCAGTTGGGTGTCATCTCTTCAGATCATGTTGTGAGACCTGGAACACCCTGCAGCAGAGCTCACCTGGTCCATCGATTGTCAGACACTGAAATGGCAACCTGGAGAGCTAAAGTTGTTGTTGTTCAGTTGTTCATTCATGTCCGACTCTTTGCAACCCCTTGGACTGCAGTACACCAGGCTTCCCTGTTCTTCACTATCTCCCAGAGTTTGCTCAAACTCACGTCCATTGAGTCAATGATCATCCAACCATCTTTTTTTTTTTTAATTTAATTATTCATTTATTTGGCTGAGCCAGGTCTTAGTTGTAGCACATGGGATCTTTAACCGCAGCATGTGATTTCTTAGTTGCAGCATGCAGGATCTATTTCCCTGACCAGGGATTGAACCCAGGCCCCCTGCACTGGGAGTCTGGAGCCTTAGCCACTGGACCACCAGGGAAGTCCCCATCCAACCATCTTGTCCTCTGTCGACTCTTCTCCTCTTGCCCTCAGTCCTTCCCAGCTTCAGGGTCTTTTCCAGTGAGTCAGCGCTTTGCATCACGGGGCCAAAGTATTGAAGCTTCAGCTTTAGCATCAGTCCTTCCAGGGAATATTCAGGGCTCATGTCCTTTAGGATTGATTGCTTTGATCTTCTTGCTGTCCAAGGGACTCTCAGGAGTCTTCTCCAGCACCTCAGTTTGAAAGCATCAATTCTTTGGTGTCCAGCCTTCTTTATGGTCCAGCTCTCACATCCACACACGACAAATGGAAAAACCATAGCTCTGACTATACAGACCTTTGTCAGCAAAATGACATCTCTGCTTTTTAATATGCATGAGAGCTGAAGAGATTTGCCCAAAGCTGCCCCGTTAGAGGCAGAGTGGCTGGGCTGGTGTGGTAGCCCCAGAGCCCAGGGCACAGGCTGAGGCTGTCCTGCCCCTTCCCTGGTAAATGGGCATGCTCACCTTGGTCTGGTTAGGAGGTGCCTCACCTGAGTGCCACAGCAACCCTCTCCGGGCGGGACAGAGATGTAGCCTAACTGATATAGGCTTTTTGGCCCTTGCAAATCCTGCAGTTCTTCTTCACCTTCCAAAGACAGTGGTGTGTGAAGAAAAAAGGGTAAAATGTATCCTGTTCAAGGGTGAAGTGTGTCCTGTCCATTGTTTTTCACTTAGAATGTGTTTGAGGATAATAAGAGAGTATGTTGAGATTACAGAGATTTAAAGCCAAAGGAGACAGAGGAAAATAAGGAAAAGGAGAAATAAACTTTGATGGAGTGGCTGCCGTGTGCCAGGCTCCATGCTGGGCACACACCTAGACCTTTGAGCCGATGGATGTTGAGCACTGAGGTGTTATGCATGAAGCTGAGAGCTTCACATAAGTTATTGCATACTTCCCATGAATGAGATGCGTACCGGCAGTTGACCATGCACTCTCCAGACAAGTGAACAGTCTCCCACAGGTTGCCTCACTTGCCCAAGGCAATTGACAAAGCCTGTCTCCTGCTTGGTCCTGCCTGATGCCAGAGCCTGTGTGGTTTCTGGGATTCCCTGCTAAATTCCTGCCCTATAACCTCTAAAGTGACCTGATTCTGTGCCTTTGTTGAGGGTTTAAGCAGAGCAAGGAGGCTTGCAAGGGTCCTTGAGCATTGTGAGGAAACGGACCAGTAGAGAACTGTCCTTCTATATCTACTGATCAGGTTCGAGATGGAGGAGGTGAGCTCCCCGGCTCCCCTTAGACCTCTTTCCCTGAGCACCAGGGAGGCAGAACCTGGCACTCACATCCATGATGTCACTTCCTGCTCTGCGGGGGTCTCTGTGGGATCTGGGATTCCTCTGGCCACGCTTGGAGGAGCCGCCCTCACTCCCCGTCCCCTGTTGTGCCTCAGGCCCTGGGCTCATCCTGATCTCAGCCTGTCCTTCAAGGCCCCCGAATCTGAAGACTACCACACGGGTCCACTCACCCAAATACAGGTGGAAGCTCCCGTCTCTGAACCTTCTTTTTACTCTTCTCCTGGCCCCCCTCCCCAAGCCAGTGTTATGAATTTGCTAGTGATTCTGGGGCCCGGATTTAGCCAGACAGCTGCAAAAGGTCACCCTGGCCCTCACCATATTTTGAGGGATGCTCTCAAGATTTTTCTACCAGACCCTTGAAGTCTCTTAGACAAGCTTTCCACTGCCTGCCCACCCCTCTGAGTCTCCTCCAGCCTCACTTCTTTCAGGAGTCTCACTCCAGTACAAACTCTTCTCTCCACCTATTGCCAAGAGGAATAGCCTCTTGTCATTCAGCCTCTCTGCCTTCTGCTGATAACAGATCTGTCATTGCACTTAGTTGTGTTGTTGCTGTTGTGTCAGTCACTCAGTTGTGTCCGACTCTTTGCGAGCCCCTGGTAGTCCACCAGGCTCCTCTGTCCATGGAATTCTCCAGCCATGAATACTGGAGTGGATTGCCATGCCCTCCTCCAGGGGATCTTCCTGACACAGGGATCGAACGCAGGACTCCTGCACTGCAGGGGGATTCTTTACCATCTGGGCCACCGGGTCAGCCCACAGTCTTATCTACCTTTGTTTATTTTAATCTATGGGTCCAGTGCCCCAGGCATTCTGTCTTCTGAGCCCCAGACATGTGCTGTGTTCATCTCACTGTCCACAATCCCGGTGTGCTCTGCACCGGCCAGCCTCCTCCACCTGCCCAGGCACGGTCTGGAACCCCAGTCATTTCCGTGCAATTTCATCCCATGCCTTTCCTTCCCTGGGAAGCCACGCTGCGGTGGGCCGTGTAATGTGAGAAGGACCTCTTAACCACATTGAGTGGCTATAATGAGTTGCCAGCCCCGTGGGAACTCAGATCAGAGGGAAGCAAGAGAGCCGAGTGTCAGCTCAGATTATCCACGTGGAGCTGATGGGAGAGCTGGCTCTTAGTGGGTCCATTAACTGCACGAACTGCGGCCCAGCCCAGAAGGTGAGATCTGGGCACCGAGGGAGGCCAGGATGTGTCTGCATGGCCCCGGCTGCTCTCCTGCCAGAGAGAGGACTCTGCCAAGATGCTCACCGGGACTGAGTAAAAGTCGCCAGAAAAGAGAGGTGAGGACTAGCTCCTCCATCCATCTAACAGCTGAACGTTGAATGCCGAGCTGGTCACCAGTGACACAGTGGGAAACAGGCAGAGTTTCCTGCCCTCCCAGAGCTTGTGGTCAGTGCTTTTAAGTTACTTCCAGATAATCAAGCCCCGAATATCAGCTCTTCTAGCTCTCTGCAAATTTTCAAGTTTCCTGATTAGCACAAAAGCAGCAAACATCAATAATGCATCTTGTAAGGCATCCATGTAGAAGTGGGAAACTGATATAGACCCATCTCCTTGCTTTCTTACCCAAACATAAGTACCGTGGGGGGAAGAAAAATGTGTTGCTACTGTGTCCAGCCTCTGTGAAAATCCAGGGAAAACAGGATACTACATTAGTTGTGGTTGGGTATCTTACAAGACTTAAATTTTAAACATCCCTGGATGCCAAGGAATTCTGAGTATGTATTCCCTCACATGAGGGCTGGCAATGTGTTGCTCAAACAAAAACGAAACACACACCAGTCCCTGCCTTCTCACCATTTATGAAATTCCACCTGCCAGTGCTTTCGAGAGCTGCTCCCAATGGCCTCTGTGTGTCATCACTTCCCCACAACCCCACCACATCACATAGACACACACAGCCCATTAAAGGGAGCTGTTCGCTACCCAAGCCAGGTGGAGTTCTGTCCCCAGCACACATCCGAGCATTCACTGCTGCCCATCAATACACCAGAAACATGGCTCCGAACTCTGGCGCCCCATCTTGGAAGGCGACATTGCCAGGGAGCCCCAGAAATGGCATCTGAAGCTGGAACTCTTCCCCCCTTCACAGCTGGTTCCGTGGGGAGCTTATTTCAGAAAATCCTATCACTCTCTACTCTCCAAACTTACATATCACAGGCTCCTGAGCCGCTTTCACCCTGGGCTACAAACTGTCTAGCTATTTAAATCGAATACCGCAAGATATATTTGCCACTGCTTCTCATTAGGGTTTTCTTGGTCTGTGTTCTCTGTTTCAGCATTGGTTGGAGTTTACAAAGTCTGTGGTGAAGCAGTTGAGATGTAAGTACTGTCCATGAAAAGATGGAAGCCTCACCCCCAGGGAGGGCGGGAGGAAACCTCTCCCTTGTAGTGTGTCTTGGGAACCTTCCTCTGTTCTGAGCGGAAGTCGGCCCTAAACATAAGAGGATCTTCAGAGTCCTGTGCATCCAGTGGGGCAGGGAGTCCCGTCGTCTTCCGGGGAGGGTCTTTGCTAATGGACACCTCTTTCCCTCTGCAGCCCAGCCTCCGTTCACCATGTGTTTCCGTGTGAAGTTTTACCCTGCAGACCCTGTGGCCCTGAAAGAAGAAATAACCAGGTAAGGCTGGTTATTACATCCCTCAGCCTCGAAGACCTGTTGGGAAGCATAGGAAAGAGGGGCTATAACTTCCTAGGTCCTCTGTTTGGAAAGCTCCTAACTCGGCTAGGCAAGAATTCTTCCTAAATATAGCCTTACTTATGTGTTTCACTTCCACATGCTCTCTTTGCTCATCTCCTCAGTAGAACTGCAACAAATTAAGGTTCTTTCCTTCAAGAAGTGTGAATACTTCATCTTAATCTGGTCATCTGCAAAGGTAACTGGAATAATGAATTACTCAAAAGCATTTTTTTTCTCTCACCGATGATGTGGCCACCAGGGATGTTTTGGGAGAGGGCTGTGTTGCTGCTTATTGGGGGGCTTGAAATAGACTCCAGCAGCCTAAATGGCAAAGCAAGAAACTGAAAAACAAGCCGGGAAACACTGAAGATTTTAAATTCAAGTGGGTGACATCCAGGGTGCTGATGGCCCAGGCTCGTGATAAACTCTTCATTATGGGGATCATGTTGCAGAGAAGGCAGGCAGCTACATGGCAGGAACCATGTCCCGTCCAGCACCACTTGAGGATGAGAAAAAACCTCTGTGCCCATGCCACGCTATAAGAGGTTCAGTGAACAGGAGAGGCACTGCTTCCTTGAGGGCTTGGTACATCTGAGCCGAATTCACTCTGAAAGTCTTGCCTCAAAGGTTCAGGCACTCTCTGAACTGGGACTCTTAATTTTCATATTAGAAAGATCTGATTTTGACATTAGCAAACCTTGACGTCTCCCTGTAAAGGGTGGAGCCTCGGTAAAGATGTGATGCCAGGAAGTCCTCGAGCCAAGGAGGAGATGGCTCCGCCAGCCGGCTCTAACCCCTCCCCTAAAGTCTTAGAGACAACAGGGACTTTAAGAGTGGTCCCCTGCAGGAGGCGTGGGTTCGATCCCTGGCCGGGGAACTAAGATCCCACATGCAGAGCAGTGCAGCAAAAAACAAAACCAAAAAATCTTAGAGACAGCAAAGACTGGACGAGGCCATTGCCAGTGCAGAGACTGCTGGTCCTCTAAGGCCTTGAGACCTTTTTCTAAACCCTGAGCCTGCCCAGCCTAAAGCACTGAGGACAGTGCCTTGTGCAGTTAGAACCAGATCTCGTGCCCCTGAACTGGGCACCTGCAAACTGCAGGCCCTGCTCATCCACACAGAAGTGGGCGTGCTCATCCATATTCAGGAGCAAGCCTGTAGCGTTAGGCAGGGGAGTGAGGGGAGCAGAGAAGAGTTTTGGCAAAGCACTGGCCTGCCCTGCCCAGGGGGCACTAGTGGTAAAGAACCTGCCTGCCAAGGCAGGGGACGCAAGAGTGTTCGATCCCGGGGTTGGGAAGATCCCTCTGGAGGAGGGAATGGCAACCCCTCAAGTATTCTTACCTGGAGAATCCCATGGGCAGAGTGGCCTGGCGGGCTACAGTCCATGGGGTCAGACACAACTGAAGTGACTGTGCACGCCCTGCTCATGACTTCCAGAGTGTTTGCCGTAGCTCTCCCCTCCCCCTTCCCTCACCTCCCTCCTTCCCCCCTTCTCTCTGGAAAGAGGTGAGGAGGCCAGGGCCAACCCTGAAGACCACGCTCCTGTCCACATGTCAGGGCACGTTTAACACATCTTTGTTGAGAGCCTAACTCCCCACCTCCTAACACCCAGCATCAGGATCACCTCGTCCACACCTCCCTGGACTATCAGAGAGGATGAGAGGGATTGGTCTAACAACCCAGAGGGCTGCCCACGAGAGCACGGCAGACACGGCCTTCCGATTTGATTGAAGGACAAAAATACACAGTTCTCTCGGCCATTAGGAGGAGATCTTAACCATAGACTCTTCTAAAGCAAATGTCACTGCATAATACTCATGTGCCCCCCCCTCACCCCCGCAAAGGCAGCAGAGACCTGGGGGCTCAGATCGTGTTGTGTTACTTCTGTGTGGCCTTGAGCATAAAATCCTTAACTTCTCTGACCTTCAGGTTCTCTATTTATAAAATGAGGATGGCAATAGTACCTCACAGCTTTTTCGGGAGGATTAACCACTACACGGGGTCTTGTACTTCTTAATGCTCCCCCAGGGAGCCTGGCATTGAGCCAAGGCTCACTGTTCACTGCCAGGTCCGTCACATGGCCTGTGGACCCCAGGGGCTCCGCACAGGCCACAAGTTCTGGCTTTGCTCCCTTGTTGATGTGATAATCCCCACCCCTCTTCTGTCCCAGCTAGTGTCCTGACACTTGAGCAGCTGAGGCCTGAGAAAGCCAGGGTCAGGCTTCTCTCCAAGTCAGCAGACTTTAAAGACGATGGCCAGAGTGTGAACTCCACCCCACTCCACACACATGTATGCCCACCGTCCTCCACAGGGGTCCCCAGCCTCCAGGATCTAATGCCTGAAGATCTGAGGTGGAGCTCAGGTAATAATAATAGAAGTAAAGTGCATAAGAAAGGTGATAGCTTGAATCATCCAGAAACCATCACCCCCCACCTTCCCTGGTCTATGGAAAAATTGTCTTTCATGAAACCAGTTCTTGCTGCCAAAAAGGTTGGGGACCAACGCTCTACTGTTTTTCCCTGCTCTCCACCTCAGCGGCCCTCCTTCCCTCGGACACATTTTTTCCAGGCGTTGCCAGGAGTGTTGGCTCTTAGGGCGCCTGGGTCTGCTTTGGAGTCTGTGTCCCTGCTCCCTGAGGCGTTCTTTGGAGGCCTGGGCTTAGCTGCATCTAAGTGGGTGCCTGTCCTCACCTCATTCAATGCCCACAGTTCACTCCTGGCTTAGAGCCCTGCACCCCACCTTCCTGCCAGACTAATTTAGCTGTCATTGTGTTTCTTCCGGGCAATATTGGTCCTAAATTTCACCGCCGTCTCGGCTGTCCCCATAAAGCCAGGCTGAGAGGAGGGATGAAGTAGGGAGTAAAGAACTGTGCTTCAATTTATCTCTTGGATTCTTCCCAGATGATAAATTTAGTTGCCAAATCCTGATTAATCTCTTTTGTCATTTTTTAAAGTAATAAATAGATTTTCTTGTCTGAGCTAGAGACAAGGCAGAGAAAATGGGGATTAGGCACCAGATTTAGCTTTTAACAACGGGCTGCAGGTGTTCGAACTGGTTGAAAGATCAAGCGATAGAAGGAAACTGAGTGCCAATTGGGCCCCACCCTCCAAGGAAGCAAACAGCCCCGACACATGTTTTAAACAGGTGCTCAAAAAATGTTAATAGATTTTTTTTAGGCCACTTAAAAAAAATGTTAATAAAATGTATAGGTAATTTATTCCAACAGCGAATATCACTGGAGCTTTGCTTAGGCTAAGATGGGTTGGCAAACTTTTTCCGGAAAAGGCCAGATAGTAAGTATTTTAGGCTTTGTGGGCCATATGGTCCCTGTCACAACTACTCTGTTCTGCCATTGTCATGCAAAACCAGCCGTAGACAACACATACATGAATGAGCATGGCTGTGTTCCAGTCAAATGTTGTTTCATCTCACTGGGGACCCTGGTGGCAGGCTTAGTTTGCCAGTTCTGGGCGAAGGAATCAAGAAGACCTGAGTTCAAATCCCAGATCGTTCTTTAGCTGGATATGTGACAAAGCAAGCAGCACTGCCTCTGATCATTCCCTCTCCTCGTGTATGAGACAGGGATTAAACACAGTAACCACCTCATCGAGTTGCTGTGAGGATTAAATGAAAGAGTGCATGTTAAACGGCACACAGCATATCTAAAGGATGACGGAGGAAAACCTGAGTAAACCACTGGAATGTAAGCTCCATAGAAGGAGGACTCTGTTTCTCTGCTGTATTCCCAGCCGCTGTGGCTGTGCCTGGTACAGGCGTGTGCTCCGAACTGGATGGGTGGGTGGGAGGGAGGGAGGGAGGGTGAAGAGGCATAGGATGTATCAGCTCTCTGAAAGTGGAAGGGAAGTTGCTCAGTCGTGTCCGACTCTTTGACCCCACGGACTGTAGCCCGCCAGGCTCCTCTGTCTGCGGGATTTTCCAGGCAAGAATACTGGAGTGGGTTGCCATTTCCTTCTCCAGGGGATCTTCCCAAGCCAGGGAGCAAACCCAAGTCCCTGCATTGCAGGCAGACGCCTTATGGTCTGAGCCACCACAGAAGTCACAGGCTCTCTAGAAGAATGTTAAAGGTAATGAAACATGAATCTCTAATTCCAAGGAGCCCGCAGTCTAGTATTGGGGAGGAAGACATACTAAACTTGATCACAGTCAGGGAAAAGGAGGGCAGAAAATAGAGGAAGCCAAGGGCAGAGAGGAAGACAGGGCCAAAGGGTCTTCTGGAAGAAACTCTTCAGAGGCCACCAGTGCTTTCCAGAGTTCAGACCCTCTAATTGTGGGAATATCTCTGGATTCATCCCTACCCTCTGATGTCAGAAATCACAATGCCAATGCTAGTACCTTGGATGTATGTGTTCCAGAAACACTTGAGTTTTCCTCTGTCATCTTTTAGGCTCTCGCACAATCTGCCTTTGCACAGTCCTCCATCCATTTAGGACAGCCTGGCATCTAAACAAAATTGGAGGTGAGGTAAAGCCTCTTTGAAGCAAAAAGGAGAGAGGCAGAGTTCAACCAAAAACGTGTGCTAAAGAGCAAGCCTTTTTGTCTTAAACCTGATCTAAAGCTGATTGCTCTTTTTTTCCAGTGAGAATTTCTCTCTGATGACGAGGATTTGCCCTGACTTCATTTAGGACCTTTCTGTCCCTAACCGTAGCTCACTGAATTAACCACAGGGGTAGAAAAAGTATCAGGTAGAAAAAGCTTCTGTTTCCTCAGTTCTAAAATGTGGGAATTAGGCTCGTGACTCCTCCTCTGAGGTTCCGAGCCTGGGTACTCCAGCCTGCCCGCTCATCATGAAGAGCTGGTCTGGGCAGCCCGGCGGGCTGACCCCTCTCCTGGCAGCACAGCAACCCTGAGGACAGAGCCCCCGGCAACGAGACGGTCTTCCTTAGGCCCTTGTGTGGCGGGGGAGAACACGTCATGGCATCTTGGGGATAGGCGTAAGGATGCTATGAGTCATGTGAGATGGATTTTCATGACCAACCACACTGAGTCATTGGTTACCTTCTCAAATGAACAAAACACCAAGCTTGATGGAAGCCGCTAGGGCAGAAAAGGAAGGGGGACCCCCCTGGGTAACTCCGTCCCGTGGAGCCATCATTTGCTTCTTTCATGAGCTTGTCTCTTCTCGTCCTCTGAAGACTGCGGTGTGCTTCTTTAGGATGCTGACGTGCCCCTCCCTTGTCCCTCCCGTCCTGTGATCGCACCATCACCGGACCGTATTCCCACGGCCTGCCCCTTGACCTCCCTGTAGCTGATCTACCTCCAGGAGGCTGAAGGAAGGCCGCCCTGCGGTGGAAAGCCTCATTTCCTCTCCAGCTCACCCGAGGCCCCTGTCTTGCACCGATTGTGGTTCTCGCTGTGAGGAGGGGTGTATCCCCCTTAGGGAGCAAATCAGAAGCTCTGGAGAAGGCTTTTCAAACCCAGACTCACATGCTCCCCACCCCGGGGGATGTTCTCCTCACCACCACATTGAGGATCGCTGCCCAGGGCCTCTGAAACCTCTCCTTCATTCCAGTATGTGCTGTCCCCGAATGTTGGACCCAGACAAGCAGAGGGGTGTGGGCGGAGTGATGTGTGAACTCAGGTCCAGGAAGTGACCCACGAGCAGGAGGCCAAAGGCTTGCTGCCACATCCTCCCAAAGCCTGTGGCAGGTGGGGGCTGGAGGGGCGAGAGGAAGAGAAGGCCCAGCCCCTCCCTTCCACACATCTTGTGACATTCCACCATGGGAAGCAGAGTGTAGACAAACTGGATTTGGTGGCGGTGGTTGTTCACTTGTTCACTCATGTCTGACTCTTTGCAACCCCATGGACTGCAGCACGCCAGCCTTCCTGGTCCTTCAGTATCTCCCGGAGTTTGCTCACACTCATGTCCATTGAGTCGGTGATGCCATCCAACCATCTCATCTTCCATCACCCCCTTCTCCTCCTACCCAGCATCAAGGTCTTTTCCAGTGAGTCAGCTCTTTATATCAGGTGGTGATGCCATCCAACCATCTCATCTTCCATCACCCCCTTCTCCTCCTACCCAGCATCAAGGTCTTTTCCAGTGAGTCAGCTCTTTACATCAGGTGGCGAAAATATTGGAGCTTCAGCATCACTCTTTCCAATGAATATTCAGGGTTGATTTGCTAGATTCAGTTTAAAAAATTACTATTTACTGCATGACATAATTTTCCTTTAGTTTTCCTTGGCAAATACTGGGTCGATTGGGGATATGGTCGGTGGGAAGAGGAGGGGAATTCTTATTAACTTCCACACTACAGTAGTCACCTTCCCTTTGGTTTGAGGAGGGTGATCCATCCTAATGTGGTTAGAAGGATGCTTTTGAATTTCCTAGGGACAGTGCTTCATAGGTTTTAATCTATGTCCAGATCACCTGGGGATCTCATTAAACTGATTCATTAGGTCTCACATGTGCTTGATTCTCCATTTCCAACAAGCTCCCAACTGCTGCTGATACCTCTATAAGATGGGCTACACTTTGAGTAGCAGGGCTTGGAAGAGAATGACGATTACTCCGTTTCTATTTAATTACTTGAATCACCAAGCCCCGGGCTCTGAGTCACCTATTGGTGACCCCCCTCACCCTAGAAGTTGTGGTCTGCTTTCTTTTGAGCATTTTCACATGATCCAGTGGGCATGGAATTCTCTGTGTTATTCTTCAGCCTGAAAACAGAAGCAATGGAAACCTCAAGTTGTCCAGGAAGAGCCTAATTTCTTTTTGGTTCAAGCTAATGAAATTTAAGGGAATTTTACTATATTCCCAGGGCTTCCCTTGTGGCTCAGCTGGTCCCTGGGTTGGAAAGATCCCCTGGAGAAGGGAAGGGCTACCTACTCCAGTATTCTGACCTGGAGAATTTCATGGACTGGATAGTCCATGGGGTCGCAAAGGGTTGGACCCAACGGAGTGACTTTCACTTTTCACTATATTCCCATTACTCCTGTAGGTGATGCTGTAGTTATCCATGACTGGTTAACAAAATGGCACAAAACTTAGCTTAAAATCACAGGTATTTCTCATCTCTGAGTATCTGTGGGTCAGGGATTCAGGGGCATTTTAGCTAGGGGGCTCCAGCTCAGGGTCTCTCTTGGGGTTGAAGCCAAGAGATAGGCCAGGCCTGTGGTCATCTGAAGTCTTGACTGATTCACTTCCACCATGGTGTACTCACATAGCCGTTGGCAGAAAGCTTCAGTTCACTGCTAGCTGTTGGCAGAAGGCCTCAGTTCCTCACCACATGGACCTTTCGGTAGGACTGCTTAAGTGTCCTCGAGCAGAGTGAGTGATCCAGGAGAAAGAGACAATGAGGAGGAAGCTGTAGGGATGTTATGACCTGGTCTCAGATGTCAGACATCATCACTTCTGCTTTATTCTGCTTGTTTGAAGCAAGCTGCCGAGTCCAACCCACACTCAGATGGAGCAAATTAAGTTCTACCTCTGGAAATGTGGAGTATCAGGGAATTTCTGGACTTTTTTTTGTTTTTTGCCTCACCGCATAGCTTGTTGGATCTTAGTTCCCCAACCAGGGATTGAACCCACACCCTTAGCAGTAAAAGCATGGAGTCCTAACCACTGGACCACCAGGGACTTCCATGTGGACATGTTTTAAACCACCACAGATGCCCCCTGGCCAAAGAACTGCTGTGGTGGGTGACTCACTTAAAGGCTTGATACCCCTGGCTTCTGCTTTTCTCAGGGGATCTGTGATGTAATGAACATCAGAAACTCCACTCCTTGCAAAGATCTTTCAAAATGGAGCGTCAACAATTCTGTGGTCATAGGGTCCACCCAACCACTTGTGAGACTACAAAGCAGCCATGGCATAGTGCCGAGAGGGAGGAATAACGTGGTGAAGAGCCGACCTCGGTCTTGAACTTGAATCCTGGCTCTGCCACCTTCCAGTTATGTGCCCGTGAGAAAATCACTGTAGCCTCAGTTTACCTTATAAAAAGGGGACAATAACAGTATCTGTTCTCAGAGTGGTATGTGCAAATTAGCTGAGAGGCTTCAGTAAAGTGTATAATCCCTGGACTGGCAGATGGTAAGTGCTCAATACACATCAGCTACCATGCATTGTTCTTGAGAGTCGGCCTGCTTCCACCTGGTGTGAGAGCTCCCTGTGGTTGAAGAAATACTAGCCACAGGTTTCTGTCCATCCCTCACCAGTGCCTCTTCCTACACCTTATTCAGATTCTGAGAGATCTGGTTGACCTCTGCCAATAACGAGGGCTGTTCCACATAAGGACAGGTCCACTGGCAAGCAGAGGCAGATCCCTCCCATGGGCCAATTCCTTCACCACATTTCTGCTTGTTTATCGGTTACTTCCTTACCTGTCTACCTACCTGCACTGGGTCTTAGTTGCAGCACACAGGATCTTCAGTAATCGTTCGTTATGGCATACGGGATCTTCAGTTGCAGCACATGGGATCTAGTGCCCGACCAGGGACCGAACCCGGGCGTCCTACATGAGAAGCGCCAAGACTTAGCCACTGAATCACCAGGGAAGTCCCCTGCTTCTCAGGAGACGTCAGCGAGGGTCCGAGGAAGAGGGAGGCTGCGTCAGCCCCTCTTTCGGGACACAGGCTGCTTTGCCAGCGCTGAGTGACTGGGGTTGGCTCCTTCCAGAGCCCAACACTGGGCGCAGTGCTTTTAACCAGGAAAGACCATTTCTGTTCTGAGCTGCAGAAGGAAACTGACAGGTCATTTGGAATTGAACTTCAAAATCAGTTCAGGGCAAAGTGCTTGAAAGAGTCTAGCCCTCAGGGATATGAAAAATGTATTTGTTCTGGGGCGTGTTTTGAGATTTTTGTTTTAAGGTAGTAAAAGTGTCCTGACAGAGATTCTGATAGGCTGATATTACATATTTATGTCTTTAAAGCAATCAAAGAAATCCTTTATAGTTCATTCTCTGTTTTCTCTCCAGGTATTTAGTCTTCCTGCAGATCAAAAGGGATCTCTACCACGGCCGCCTCCTCTGTAAAACATCAGACGCTGCCTTGTTAGCAGCTTATATCCTTCAAGGTAATGACTTTTGACGGGATAAATTTGCTTTTCATGCTAAGTACTGATTACATTATTTCAGTTACCACAGATGACTACCTCTTGGATATAAACAGTATCTAACTTGAAACGGAGTCCAGGTTAAAGGACTTTGCCTGGACTCCCTTGATCCAAAAAGCTCTGACCACTGAGCCTCAAGTTGTCTGTACCTCAAGCCTTTCTGGCGGCCCCTTCAAGCCATTCAGACTCTGTTTGGTGGGGGTGGTGGGGGGAGGGGGCGTGTTTCCCTGCACCCTTGGTTGATAAAGTTACTAAGCCTCTGGAGAGTAATCCAAATCTGGTTTTGTTTTTTGTTTTGTTTCCCGTCCTTCTGTGCAAATCTCAAAGATGTGAAGCGTCTTGGGATTCTGGTGTCGGTTTCAGAGACTTCTCCATTCAGAGTGCCCAAAGTTGAAAATGTTTCCAAGTTACAAACCCATTTTCTATACACAAATAAGAGTTGGGGCTGTGCCCAGCCAATACCCAGACTGGCTTTTCTTTTTTTTTTTTTTTTTTGCAAAACAGAGGGAAAGGTGTGCACTCTTCATACATCATCCCTTCTCCTTTCCTGAGATGCAGGAGATTGCTAAGTGCCACTTTCTGGACTTCTGTCAGTCCTTCAGCCTGAAACTGTCACTGGGTTATTTTGGATCATAGCACTAAAATCGTGGAGTTTCTACCAAAGAAACTGAACTCATAATCAGAAATCTGTGAACTCCAGGAAGCTACTTTGTGAATAGAACCTAAAAAAAAAAAAAAAAAAAATGCTTGCCAATAAGAAACTAAAGTTCTTCCGGCAAGAAAAATGTCACAGCTGCGTTATGAATGTAAAAGTCATTCTGTTGCAACTTTGACTTCTGAGACTCCTGTTTTAAAAATCTACCTAAGTAGGAAGTCTGGAAGGTGCTTGCCAACTTTAAGGTACCCAAAGAGATCCCTTTCGTTTTTAAAGGAAAACCTGGTCCCATCTAAGTGAAATTGTAAACTCTAGTCTTTTCTTTAGTTTTACCCTGACAGCCATATTGAAATTTTTTTGTTTGTTTTAAAGAAGTCACTGATATCCAACATTGATGTTTCCCACTGGGAGCTTTCTAAGTAAAATTATAATAAATGACCCCATGGCTCAAGGTCATTTCAGACATTAAGCCCCAGGAAACATTTAGTCTCTAAACGTTGCTAAATGATAGAAATTCCCAAGTAATTTGGAAGATACTATCAGGAGACTAGTGCCACAGAACAATATTCAGTTGTGAAAAAAGGGCACATTTTTTCCCTTAATATTTACTCCTCACTCAAGACTTCTCACCTGCACTGGCTGTGGTTCTCACTAGGGAAGAACAGACAACCACACAGCGGCCGAACTGTTCAACATCCTTCCTCCTAACGTACACACAGCGTTCCCTGTGGAATGCTCCATGTGGAGAAGGCTGGGTTCTGACCTGGAGATACACTGTGAGCAGCAGTGTGGGCCCACTGACCCTCCAGAGTTCACAGATCTGAGGTCTCAGCAGTTGGGGGATGGACTCTAAATTTTCAGGAGCAGGAAGCCCCCCTCCCCCACAGGGAACTGAAAAGTCAGCCTGGGGACCCGATGCTCCTGAACCCCGTGGCACTCTCCATTTACAGCCAGTCTTCCACTCTGCAGGCTTCTGCAAGGGGCCTTCACCTGGCCAGCCCTCAGTGACTAGTTACTCAGATGTATTCACTTGATCTGATTTGGACAAGAGTTGAGTTCTGAGTCAACTTGGGTCATGACTCAGTTGGGTCATGCTTGAGTCATCATTTGGCCGTGTCCCTGCTAAAATCCTCAAAACGAGATTTAGACTTCGGATGTGGCCGAGGCCCAGAAGGTTCTGATCTCCTGATCCGGCTCACAGTTTCCTTCGCTGCCACAGAGAGCTTCACTCCCAGGCGCGCTCCTCGTGGCTGAATGGATGTGGGCGTGGTGCGGGGGTCTGCTGTTTCACAGCAGTTTTACACGAGGTGGCCTCAGAACACAGGCTCAGCTCCACACTCTCCACGTGGCCCTGAAACCAACACAGTCAATGTGCACGTGAGGGAAAACGAAGCTGGGCCTGCTCCCGAGCACCTGCCCTCTGCGCCCCGCCCCCCCGCCACAGTCGTGCCTGTTCTCGGCAAATCTGGTGCGGACTCTGGCTTTCGCTGTGCGTGTTAGCCTCCTGTTGTGTTGCCAGTGACAATTTACCTGTCTCCACAATTGTCTTCCTCTGCTTTCCTTTTGCAAGCGGAGATTGGGGATTATGACCCAGGAAAACACCCCGAAGGCTACAGCTCCAAGTTCCAGTTTTTCCCTAAACATTCAGAGAAGCTGGAAAGGAAGATCGCTGAGATTCACAAGACAGAGCTCAGGTGCGTGTCCCTCGGCTCAGGCCAGGCCACCGACTCCCACACAGCCCGTGCCCGCCCCGCCGGCTCCAGTAGACCCAGCCCTCCTCGCTCCAGGATGTAACGGTGTTCCATTCTCGGTGATCCACTGATGGTACAACCCTAGGGCCCCCTCTCCAAGAACAGTGGTGCCGGCTGAGGCTTAAAGGCAAGAGAGATGCTATATTGTAAGGAAAATGGAGAAGGATTTGCCTCTGAAAAAGTATTTGCTTCACTAAGATAAATGAAGAGACCGGGGCGGGGCAGGGGGAGCCAGTAGGGGGGTGTGGACCAGAAGCATGAACTGGGGGAAAGGAAAACATAAAAGAAATACCAAAAGAGAAGAGAGAGAAGAGAGGATGGGTTAAGAAAATGGGCCCACCTCCACCCCCGGTCTGTGACTCTGGGTCAGCCGATAGGACCGAGCAGGGCCAGATGCTCTGGTTGCCCGGAGATTCCTGGTTCAGGGGGTGTGACTTTAACACTGCCTCCCTCAACCCCACACCACTGTACCCAGGGAAGGAGAGGAGAAGCAGCTAGAAGCAGGAGGTAACTGTCATCCTCAGGTTGTCCCAGCTCACCCAGAATATGCCCAAGTCCATAAAATAGTATTAATGCATCCTTTCACCCATATGAAATGACGTTTTCTACAAAGGCTGATTTTTATTTAAAAGGAAAAAAGCAACAAAAGGGTGTTTAGGCTCTACTTTGTATGGCATGCTGGAGTAGATGCTCCAAACTGGTTAACTATGAAGAAAAAATCTACATTCAACACAGCATATTAATATAGTACAATTTTTAAAAATCTTCTAACATATTTTTGTAACTACATTTCTGGGGAAGAACAGTGCCCAACAGGAGGGGGAAAAATATTCCTAATGATATTAAGCTTAAACTAGTTCCTAACTGATGCCCCCCCCGCCAAAAAAACAAAAATATCCTTCACCTGAACTCAAAGATTTTACCTAGAAATATGCCCCCAAAGCCTCCTTATCCTTATAAACAGACCGCTTGCCCGCTGTGTATGGCCGGATTGGACCCCACCCGGCCTAGAGGAATGGAGACCCCTATGGAGGTGGAATCCCAGCCCCTCTCACGGCTCCTCCCATCAGTTTTAGCAAATAGCGGCCCCTTGTGGTAAAAGTCAGAATAGACACAGATGATGACGGCTCCTGGCTCATTCAAAGGAGAGATCGGGGTTTGCTGGAACTGCCCGGAGGCGCTGCCAGGAAGGTTTTAGGAGAAGTCAGAGCAGTGGGGACAGTCCTCCAGAAACCTAACAGAAGTCAGGGTGATCCCCAAGGAAATGATGCCCATCTGGAGGGCCCCAGAGGGTTGGGCTGACTCCAGGGGTGAATGGAGCCCACGGAGCCCTGCAGCCTCCAGACAGGGAACAGAGCCTCCTTGGAAGGGGTGTGGGTGCTCAGTGGCCTCTGGGGCCTGGCTTTCTACCTGCTGTGCCAGCGTTTTCCCAACACCTTCCCCGTGTCCCTGGTGCACTGGTGGAGGTACATGTCCGCAGTCCACAGAGCCCTCACTGTTCACACAGGCTCAGCCTCATCTTCATCACATAAAACTGGTATTTCCTCTCTCCGGCTCTGAGATCCTTGAGGGCCCAGGCTGTGCATTATATTCTGTGGTATGTTTCACACCTCGCCACCCAAAGGCTGCTGAGGTGTTGATGGATTGCTGCCTCTCCGGAAAGACAGGAGCGGGAATCCGGGGCTGCTGCTCCTTGGGCGGGCTTGTCTTCCCGCCCTGCCATAGGACTTGAGGCAGGTGATGACTTTAGAGGGTTCCAGTCCTGTCCAGCAGCCGTGGCAGTTGTTGACTGCGCAAACTGCCCACCCCCTCCTGACCCTGAAGCCCACCCCACATCAGTGGAAGGACGTCAGCTAGCCCGGGCGCTGGACACTGAGAGCCCGTGTGACCCGGCCTGCCCCGGTCCTGTGCGGAGCCCGTCCACACCCCTGCTGAGGAGCCAGCAGGAGGGGGTCGATGCTCAAGGCTGCTGCTTCAGAGGGCTTGGTGCCAGCACTTGTTTCCTCCTTTTTCTGTTTGTTTCCTCTTCATAGTCCTCACCCTGTGGGCAGGCAGAGCTATGGTGGAGTCTGGGGAGCTAGCAGTGTCTCTCACTGCATCTCTTTTCCTTCCAGTCCCGTGTTCCCTTCTGGTAAAGGAAGACAGTTAGGCAACAAGATACACAGGTCCTGTCTTAGTATCTCAGTCTAGATCAGATGGCCTGCAGGCAGCCTACAGGTGTAGTTTTTTCTGCCCCCATTATATTTAAAACTGGGAAATGCCACATCAAAATCAGTATGTCTGAATTTTCTTTAAAAATCACACCTAGCAATGCTGGGCCCTGCTTTCCAACACTACCATCTTGGAGCTGGAGAGCAGCTTCCCTCATTAGATGGGGCAGCATTCCCAGTTTGCCATAGTCCCCACAACTCCCTATGGTGTTACACTCAGCCCATGTATTCATCACACAGCCTGCCTCACTCTGAAAACATCTGAGGGTTTGACCCTAGAATACGGTCTGTGAAGTTGGTCCTAGGACAGAGCAGGGAGCACACCCCATGGAAAAAAATAAGCGTGAGAGACCCTGGGCACTTCTTAATTGAGTTCATCTCAGGGGAACCTATAGGAACAGGAAATCCTGAATCGCTTCATTTTCTTTATTCCAGTGGTCAAACACCAGCAACTTCAGAGCTGAACTTTTTAAGGAAAGCGCAGACATTGGAGACATACGGAGTGGACCCCCACCCGTGTAAGGTAAGGCACCCCCGTGGCTGGAGACGGCACTGATCTTGCCCCCTGCCCACCAGAGGATGACAGGCAGGGAGGGACCTCATGTCTGCACCCCTCCGCCCCTTCATATTGGGATGATTGGCTTCATTAGTGACAGTGGCCAGAGAAAACATCTCATGGTGAAAACTCTGGATTCCACGCTGCGGAATCTTGTGCCACATCAGAGCTGAAGCATACAGGCACAGTCCATCTAGATAACAAATCCGAAACCAGGGCCCGCCTTTGGCAGCCATGGGTAATTTGGTGGAACCGAGGAGAGGCGGAATGTGGGAGCCCCCCTCCCCCCCGCATCCTCAGGGAATGATCAGAGGCAGCTCAGCGCACAGCCCGCCCTTCCCTGACCCGTAATCTAGTTTCTGGCCAGGAGTGGGTTTTATTGACTGTAGAGCTGCAGTGGAGTCGCACTTAATTCCATTATGCGTCTGTGAGGGCGGGACGGGGACCAGCCCGGGAGGCTCTGCCCGGAGAAACCCTCTGTAATTACTCACATGTGTCTGGCACTTGGGAGATGAGCTCAGGCAGCCGTGGACACCGAGGAGAGCGGTGGAGACCATGGCCCTCTCTCCCTGTCTGTCTGTGGCTGGATCCCCGCACGTCATCTCATTCCAGCTCTGACGCTTCTGGTCTCTGCCTCAGTCCTCTAGATCTGTGCCTCTTTCTCTCCACCACCAGAGAGACACCAGTAAAACTGACTCCTAACATTGGCCTCTCGTTCCTAAAAAGTGAGGGGCAGCGTAGGCTTCCAGCGAGAAAGAACAGAACAGAAACCAAAGAAGCCAGAATTACTTTTCTTGTGGTGGCCCCTTGGTGAGGAGATGCTCTTGCATAGGATTAAATGCCGAAACTTCAGTTAACTTTGGGAACGTTCTGGCACTCAGAAACCTGGCCACCCTCCCAGCTCCACAGTTCCTTGTCCACCAGCACAGTCTACTGACAGATAACCCGTGTTCTTGAGGGGCAGTGCTGTCAGAAAATACATTCATGCTGGTTTATACAAAAAAAAAAAAAAAGACATGCGTGTGTGCAAATGAATTAGCAAAGCTTCCTGAATAACGCCTTCTGCACCACCAGCGTAGTTTAACCTGCGTCGATTGCTCAGATACCAAGGGCAGAGGGCTGCAAAGGACCAGAGAGAGCTTTGGGGTCAACCAGCCTTGGCTTTAGTGCTGGCCTCCTCCTCACGGGGGCCTTCAGGGCTTCTCTGAGCCTCCCTAGCCTTGTCCGGGTGAAAGCCCTCAGCAGATACTCCTGAGTCACTTCAGGACCTTAGGAGACACCGCTGCCTTCTTTTCTTCTCCGCCATCCTGTGCGTGGCTGAATTTGTTCCGCATCTTCTCACAAGACTTTCAGGACTGAGCGATTCCTGGCCAAGAAACAAAAGCAGCATCATCCCGTTTCCCAATGGATTCAAATGAAAACTGGTAATAAAATCAGGTATAACTGCAGGAGAAGACACTGGAGAAGAAACCAAGCTGGGTCTTTCAGGAGCCTCGCACATGAAGTGGCACACGTTTAGGCTGCGTCAAGGCCACGTGCATCTTATCATTATCACTTTGAGAGCGTCTGTACTGTCTGACCTGCTGGCTGTGTTTTATTGAGAAAATGATTTTTCTCTGTGTCAAGTGTTTCTGCACTAGAGCTTTTGGCTTAGTAATAAACACATGAGACCTTTTGTTGGGGGAAAAAAAAGATGTAGCTGCCTAAAGATGAACATGGTCCACAGAAGATGCCAGGTCACCTCTGCATTTGACCCACATCTGCTCGGCCCCTTTGAGGAGAGGAGGGTCGCTGGGCAGGGCTGTCACCTGGTGGCATGTAGCCTGGGCATGACAACTGAGTGGAATGGGTGAAGATTCTCTCCTGTTGTCTCGGGAGATCTGGAAGCTAAGGGGCAGCCTGCTTGGTGTCCAGCCCAAATCCACACACACCCTAGGGCTGTGGGGCTCCTGGATCAGCCCTGTCTTTGAGCCTTCCACCTTCAGACACAGAGGTGAAGAGGCTGCAGGAAGGAACCAGCGTTCATACCAGGCACTGCACGAGGCCCAATCCCATGTATCACATCATTTCATCCCCACAGCACCAACTCCGAGAAGGAGGGAGGAAGAAGAGGCTTGTGGCACACCTTCCCGGGTGTGTGCCACATTATTTTCTCATTTAGTCCTCATGCCAGCACTGGGATGTGGATATTATTCTTCCTGATTTATAGGCAAGAAGATGAAGCTTCCAGCAGGCCACAGCGCGCAAGGCCCCGAGTGGCAGAGCAGGACTATGAACTAAGGTCCCTTCCTGTTGTACATCTCTAAGGAGCAGAAGCACCCAGGAAACTTCCTTGAGGAGAAGGTGGGAGCAGTCGTCTCGCTGGGCTTCCACTCCCTTGTTCCTGGGCTGCGTACTTCTTGCTGGCGCAGGGCCCTGCTGCAGGCCCCACGGCTCATCTCCTTGGGCTCCAGCTCAGGATCTCCTCAGCCCTCCTGGGCGAGAACAGTCTGGGAGCCTTTACTCTTGCCACTAAGTAGAGTCACTTTGGTGATAGGCTACCAAGCACTCGCTTTAATGTTGCTGCAAGGGGAGCCGAAGTAAGCTGGAGTGCTCAGTGTAATAAATACTGATGATTTCTATTAACAGAGAGGCAATTACTGGGCCCTGGGAATCTGGGGCACGCAGCCCTAGGGAGGCCAGAAGAAGAAGAATCGTTTCGATAATTAAATGAGAGCAGAACAAGGCTTCGGCTGGGCTCTGTGCTCCTGGACTGATTAAGAAGCTGCTGTTCTTCCTGTCCACGCTGATGGTTTCTTTCTGCCCAGCGTGTCCTTGCCTGGCCCTGGGACGAGGAAGAGGGGATCCTACCAACTCTGGGTGGAACAGCCAGAGGGCTCCAGTAGCTAGCTGTTTTACATCAATACAAGAACCTTGAATTCAGAAGCTATCCTGAGCTCTCTGCCTTTCCCAGCTTCTGGCAGAAGCCCCCAACAGACCAAGCCTACAGCTGCTGGAGGAGAAAAATGGAGCAAAGAGCTGACGGCCCAGGCTTGTGCCTGCCCCGCAGCCTAACACCTCTCCATCAGGGGACACCATCTTGCTCCTTCCACGGAGCCTGAGCCTGGTGCTTTGCCCTGGTCTCCAGACTGTGGCCCCCTGCCCTGCCGAGGTTCACAGACTGGTCAAACCCATCACATGAGCCCCTCCTTATCGTGAGTCTTGAAGGTGCCACTTATTGAGAGCTGGCACATGCCAGGCATGAACACACAGTGTCTCATTTCATCTTTACAACTCTGCTAAGAAGACATTCTTCTCTTTAAGATAAGAACACTGAGCTTTGAGGGACTAACATGTCCAGAGTTACTGGCAGGGATGGTACTGGGACTCCAAGCTTCGATGTGTCCATGTTGTGCTCTTCCAGTTGTCGTTCATGATCTTCCACCTGGAGAGATGGCATTTATTCAGGAACAAAGTGGGACTCACAGCCACCTCTGGTCAAGAGAGGACAAAAAGGCCTATGAGACTTTTGAAATCATCATAGGAAAATGTAACATAAATTGATGAGGTGGTTTTATGCCTGTTCTGTACAGACCAAGAAAAAAGCTGACTAAAGCAAGATCTTGATGAGATCAACCATACAAATGCAAGGTAGTGCCATTTCCTTGCTCCTAAAGTGGGATCGTTTACTTTCATAACCCAGCTGCGTAGGCTCCTCTGTAAGTAAAGCTGCCCCCTATCTTGACACATCGCCCCCCACCCTGGACCTCAGAGAAGCAGAACAAGAGGGATCAGTGCTGACTCACCTCACCCTCAGGTTGGCCCCTCTTGGCTACCATGCAGAGAATGTTAGGTTTACTATCAAAATGAAAAACTCGACTAAAGTCACTTAAGTGGTAAGTTTCTGCCGAAGTTTGCATTTCTGAGCTCTCATGGGTGGATGCCACGCCTCTTCGAGGGTGCTGCCTGCTCTCCTTGTCACCACTGTACCTTCTTGTGGCCATGTTTTTTGTTTGTTTAGACCTTTTTTTTTTTTTTTGGACATGCCTCATGGCTTGGAGGACCTTAGTCCCCCAACCAGGAATCAAACCCATGCCTCCTGCAGTGGAAGTGCAGAGTCTTAACCACTGAACCACCAGGAAAGTCCCATGACCATGTTTAAGTATGTTGAAACTGGGTGACTGTCATGATTGACTTAGTGTGAAGGTCCCCCAGCTCCAAGCTCTTTCAGGAATGGGCATCACTGTCCAGAAGAGCATGTGCAATCTTCTTTACTAAGGTTTTGTTTGTTTGTTGAAGAATAATAGAGGCTTCATCCACCCACACTGAATTAGTTTTAGTTGGGTCCAGAGGAAGGACTGACTGACCTTGAGTGGCATAACAACTGAGAATGCTGTGTTCCTGACCCAGTCACCCCCAGGATGTCCTCTGGGGTGGGAGGTGGCAGACAGAGCCTATTTCATTGTATTCAGAGGTGGGTCTGGGCAAAGGTGGCCAGGTGTCCCCATTTCCAAGAACCTGTCAGGGCTGATTTCCAAAAATCCTTTTCTGGGCAGAGTGATCATCTCAGGGTGAACAGTTGATGACGGATGGATGCAGGTTAGGTCTCATGGTGGGTTCTATATGAACACGTGAATGACTGCAAATCCATCCCCTCCCCAAGAAAAACACCATTGGCTTTGTCCTGGCAGTATGTCATTTAGGCCATCTTCCTAAAATCAGACAGAAATAATATTTCTCTTTTCCTTTTTTAATAATTTTTTAAAATGTTATTTGGCTGTGCTAGGTCTTAGCTGCGGCACGTGGGATCTTTAATCTTTGCTGCGGTGTACAGGATCTTTAGTTGCGTTTGGTTACAGCGTGTGAACTCTTAGATACGGCATGTGGGCTCTAGTTTCCTGACCAGGGATGGAACCTGGGCCTTTGCACTGGGAGCGAGAAGTCTTAGCCACTGGACCACCAGGAAGTCCTGAAAGTAGTATTTCTTGAAGTATATATGGTGGTCCTCATCTTACAAATGAGGAAACTGAGGCCCAGAGGAGCAAGGAGGTTACAGAGCAAATAAGAAGCATTGCTGGGGTCCTAAACCAGGACTGAAGCTTCTTCCACAGGGATGAGAAGCAGGGAGGATACAGAACAGGGCTGTTGATAACTGCTGTATGGCTGGGAAGTGTTTACGCCACTTCCCAGATCACTAATGGCTCAGTCCTGTGGGTGCTGATTGTGTCAGGATGGAGGGGGACAGGGAGGAAAGGTGGCTGAGATGGGAGACTGAGGATCAGGGCGCGGCTGTCTGTGTGACTTCTCTCCTTGTCCTCACTCCTTCTCTTGTCATGTAACGTGTCCCTGCACACACAAACCCCAAGGGCCGGCTCACAAGGAGAACGGCTTGTTAGAGGAAAGAAACCGGGAAGCTTCCAGAGAGGGTGTCGGTGTGGCCGCCTGGGTGTTTTCACGCTGGTCCAGGTGTGAGGTTTCTTGCTGTCATTCCAGTCCCGCTTCTCATGTGCAGAGGCAAGGAGCAAGTACCCCAGCTGCCTGGCCCCCGCCCGTGGATGCCAGGTGCCAGGCCCTCCAGCAGCTATCTGCAACTGCTGCATCAGAAGCAGTCTGGATAACTGCTCTCTTCAAATGAGGGGATGGGTGGGGATATAGCACAGGTGCTATTATTATTTACTGGAATGATAAGTAATATTTACTGACGTTTAATTTTGGTTTCTTAGCACGTTTGCTCCCTCTTCCTAGTCAGCCAGTCTGGTCAGGAGAGACTGTTTCTAAGCCCAACACACCCTTCACTCAGAGGCCAGCCCTGGGGTATCTGGATGGTGCAGCGAGCAGTGCCAACCAAGGAACCCAGCCAGCACCATGCAGCTCGTGGGAGGACCTGCCCTTCCCTTCGCTCTGTCACCATAATGGCCTTCCCAGAGGTCTGACTCCTCCGGCCTGCCCAGTTAGTGCTGGGTCCCCTGGCATACCTGCATTGTGTGCTGGTATTCAGCCGTTAGCACCCACCACCAAGCCCTGATGACAGGCAGGGGGAAGCCCAGCCCCATGGCTTCACAGTATCTCCATTCGGGTTATTTTTAAACAGCTTTTTGCCGTGCCCATGGCTTGAATGATGCAGTGTTTGCAGCCAAGTGTTGGGGTCACAACAGACCACGAGGAAAGGACAGTAACAGCTGTACATTCATTCAAATGTTTGCAAAATGTATATTTGGTTTATTCCCTGGACCCAATGTTCACACCTGTAACCCTGGCTCGAAAAGACAGTTTTAAGGCAAAACTGTACTTTTTTCTTGAGGTAAGGCCCATGAGGCCCTGCAGAGCCCCCACTGTTCTCAGGACTGATCAGGCTGAAGGTCTATGCCAGTGAGGCAAAGCCGGAAGGTGGGAGAGGCTAGGAGAGCCCCACAGCCACAGCCCCCATTTGCACACATCACACCAGGGACCCAACTCCGACCCTGTGGCACCATCTGAGTTGCGTCTCAGATGACTGTCCTGTGATCAGTTCCATTCAGTCAGCATCCAGGCATAATTTTCTGGCCCTCTGCACACACTCACCCCCCAGCAGAACAGATGCTCACCTGTGGCCAGTATTAGGAAGGAAGCACCTCTGAGAGAATGTACCCCAGCAGCCAGCATTCTGGGCTCCATCCCAGCCTCAAAAAGGCCTGGGCCTTCTGGAGCCCGTTCCCCACAGGAGGGAACCAGGACCTACAGCTTCTCCCGCACCTTCTCCCCTTCTGCCCAGCAGAGCCTCAAGCCTCGTGTTTACCGGCTGAGAGTGACAGGTGATCTCTTGGTTGGTTCAGGCGACACAGGGCTGGCAGTAACTGTTCCACTTGGCTGGTTGCTTCTTATATTTTCTTCAGCTAAACTTTCCTGAGGGAGTCCAGTGTGTAAGGCCATCATACTGATTACTGCTATTCTCACTCACTCACAGCAGCTTTCTTGAAATACAATTCACACATCAAAACAATCCATCCTTTTCAAAGTGTGCAGTTCGATGGTTTCTAGTCTGTTAACAGTTGTGAAACTGTCACAACTATCTAATTTTAGGATATTTCCATCATCCAAAGAAACCCTGTACCTGTTATCTGTCACTCCCCATCCCCATTTCCCCACAGCCTCTGGCAACCAGAAGCACACTTTTTGGCTCTGTGGATTTGCCTGTTCTGGACATGTCATATAAATGCAAGCGTATACCAGGTGCTCTTTGATTAACTGGCTTCTTTCACTTAGCACACTGTTTCCAAGGTTCATCTCTATCATTGCAGGTGTCAGAACTTCATTCCTTTTTACTGCCAAATAATATTCCATTGTATGGATGTGCCACATTTTGTTTATTCATCTGTCAGCTGATGGACATTGGATTATTTCCACTTTGCAGCTGCTATGAGTAATCCTGCTCTGAACGTTCATGCACAAGTTTCTGTGTGAACATGTTTTCAGTTCTCTTGGGTACATACCTAGGAGCGGAATTGCTGGGTCATACAGTAGCTCTACATTTAACAGTTTGAAGAACTCCCAAACGGCTTCCAAAGTGACTGCACCATTTTGCAATCCCCTCAGCAATGTGTTCTCTGGATATTCGCAACAGCTTTCTAAGATTGGTGTTATAATCTACAACTTCAATTAAGGCCACTGAGGCTCAGGAAAGGTAAGAAACTTGGCTATTACTTCCAAATGCCAAGCTCTTCCTTCTGTGACTGGTTGCCAAGTATTAACCCTGTATCCTCAGAGGACAGCTGCGTTCTTCACCCTTTCCCTCTATGCCTGCACCACCCTGATGAGAAGTGTTTATGTTACAGGACGTGTCAGGAAATGCTGCGTTTCTGGCCTTCACTCCTTTTGGGTTTGTTGTTCTGCAAGGAAACAAGAGGGTCCACTTCATTAAATGGTGAGTATCTTTACTTCCGAAACAGGCTTTTTACCCCTCACCAGCTGGGGAGGGCTGTGGTTCCCATGTCCTTTGTCTGTGAGTGGGCGAGTTCTGATTCTGAACCCTCTCCTAAGCCTTGCGTCCGTAACGGTAACTGGTGAAGGTAGTGGTCTCTTCTAGGGATCCTGTTCTTCCAAAGGGGTGTTCCTGAGAGCCATCAGCCTCTCCAGAGAGAGAAAAGGTGTGGAGACTTGGTTCCTGGGTAGGACGAGAGGTCTAGAGCTGGAGTCAGTGTCGGGGAAGCAAAGTGCCCATGAGGAGCGAGTCCTTGGGACTGTCCTCCACTGGGGGCCATAGCATCACAGAGAGGGTCACTCCAACCCTCTCCTAATGAAGGAGGGCTTGTAGTGACCCCTGGCGCAGACAGAAGCGACCCTGTTACTTTGCAAAACACCCTCCTCGGACTGAGCCCCTCAGTGGGCAGTGCCTGAGGGAGCAGATGCCGCTCTGTCTCCCATCCCCTTATGGGACTTAGGGGTCCTCGGCCCCCAGGAGTCACATGCCTCCCTTTGTCGCCCCCCCACCCCACTCCCATCTCCAGCAGGCAGGAGCCCCCGCTGCAGCTGCACGGACCACTTCCTCCCTGCCTGTCTGCCGGGGCCTGTTCTGCAGCGGGGCTCTGTGAGCTGAAGCCACAGACTCTGGTTTGTTGATGGACACTTGGCTCTCCAAGAGACTCTTTCTTGGGCCCACGCAGACACCTGGCAGCCTCATCAGACCATGCTCCACATTCTCCTTGGCCCCTGCAATCCCCGAACCTCCCTTTAGGCTGTCAGGTCTGAGCTGGTCTGCTCCTCAGGGGCCTGGACAAGCAGCTTTCCTTGGCCCAGCAGGGCTAGCCGGGGAAGCCCACTCCTGGCTCATCCCCTTGGCCTTCTCCAGAAGAGCCGGTGGGAAACCTGAGGACAGAGCTCTCCCTGGCGAGCTTTCTGCCAGGGATGCTGCAGGCCAGACACCCCCTTTCCAACCCTCATGACTTTTGTGAAGCTTGGAGACACAGTCGTCATGAGAGTGCTCGTGAAACTGCTCCCCAGACGTGCCTGGTCAGGCCCCGTTCCCCAGAAAACCCCTTCCGAGTGGGCCTGCTGCACTGCCGTAACCAGGGTGCACCCCAACACGCCCATTTGCCCAACCTTCCCAAGTTGGCCCATTCACTGCACTCTCTAGGTGAAGATGGTGAGGGTTTGGGGTCTTCTGTCCAACAGATCTTTTCAGACATTGCGCAGGGTCAGGCACCACTCTCCTCATTAGGGGTACTTGCCGCATGGAGCCTCTGGGTGGTCTGACGTTCCCAGAGCACCCACATCCTGGCCATACTCCAACCAGGCCAGCTGTCATATGAGGCAGCTGGTAGGGGACATTTTAGCTAAAAACATGGAGGACTCGCCTGTTACCGGGGCCGGTGGTCCCTAAAGGACCCTCACCCTCCAGAAGCCCTACTGCAGCTCTCCAGGCTGCCCCAGACCCTTTTCCTTCTCTGCCTTCTCTCACAGCCCACTTCTTCAGGAAGTCTCTTCATCTCTCTCAACGCCAGAGTAACAGATATAAACTTAACCTGACTCCCAACAGAAAACTTTCTACTTTTCTACCTTGCTTGTTGAAGCCGAGATGATACATGTGCTTGCTTATCAATCGATTGATAACTTACGGTATTCTGTATGAGAGGTGGATTGCCTGGGAGGGAGCCTCACAGGGAAGGCTCGTATGAGCTCAGAAGTGGTGGTCAGAGGTGCAAGCTTTCATCCTGACCTGGCCGTGGCTTCCAGGGAACAAGTGACCTTCCTCTGTCCCACGAGTTTTGTCCAGGAGTAAACCGGGTACACTGTTCTCACTACCTTTCTGCTACCTTTCTAGGATATTGAGGAAAGCTCCCTAGAAATCGCAAAGAGGAAGAAGCCAAGTGGAGGCAGAGATGAATGGTCAGACCTCCCTGCGGGGGGAGAGGGTAGAAAAATAAAGACTCTGCCCCAGTGAGCTAGGAGGGGGCCTTCAGGCTCCACAGGGGAGCTGTCAGGCAGGTCAGTGGAAGGGAAGTTGAGGCCTCGGTCGACCCTGAGGCCTAGTCCTCTGGCTCTCAGGGACAACCACCTAAGCTAAGACCCCGGTCCGTTCTTCCACTTTGTAAATGTACCAAGGCTGAGAGCAGGATGTGGAGGTGAGGTCGAAGCCGTGCCATGTACAGTAACCATGTCACTTCTTCTGATTTGTGTCTGTCCTGCGGGCGATGTACCCCAGTATCCTGTTTGCCTCTTTTACTGCAGCCATTCACTGGGCTGGTGGCTTCAAGGATTTTTCTACACAAACCCCTAAGCCCCTTTCCTGGTCAGTACGCTGCATGACTGTTCCATGTAATCTGTCCTCTCTCTGGTATGTTGCCCTGCCCCCTCCCCGAGATCGTCTGACATTTGTCTGCATTAAACTGCATTCTCCATCCAGTGGCACCTGAAAGACTCAACTCCCTCAGAACCCGGTTGCATTGTTTCTCATTATTTGCTGTATCTTGAACTTTGGCCTCATCAGCTACCTGTGGCATCTTACATTTGACAGTCCCATCTAGATAATGCACCTGTGTTATGAACCAAATCCTGAAATGGCCCAGGACCACTCTACCTAGACTCACTGCCCGTGCAGACATTTCCCTTTTACAGCCACTGTTGATGAGCCCGAAATCCTCCTATCACCCTATTATGATAGTGTGATTGACCAGAAAACTGTGGATTGAACTGTTTCAGCAACTGTTCTCTAAGGCCCCTGCGCTGCTGTCTTGTTTCGGTTCTAATTTTGGCTAAAACTGTGTCTGTGCCTGGAGCCCCTTCCAGTCAGGGTGGGCTGTGCATCTACGAGACTTAGCTGTGAACAGGCAGCCCGCAGCGAGCTGACAGGCGCTCTCTTTGTGCTTCTAGGAATGAGGTGACCAAGCTGAAATTTGAAGGAAAGACCTTTTATTTATACGTAAGTCAGAAAGAGGTGAGTGATAGTTTCCTTCTCTTCAGGGAGGGCCGGGGCTGAACCGAGGTGGTCCACCAAGGTAGAGCTAAGCTCCCCGCAGGCTAAGTCAGGACCAAGGGCAAGATCCGGAGGTGAGGAATGGAGGTGGCTAGGCCCTGGAGCACAGGGACTTCGTCAGGGATGCTGATGACCCCTCAGGTTCCATACTCCAGGAAGTACAAAGTAAGATTCTTTCGCTTCCATATGAAAATTCCAGGAAGAGAAATAGCCCCCAAAAGAAGAAGAAAATCCCAGATGAGAGTGCCGCTTTCCCTGGGGAGGGCTCGCCTGGTTCACACTAGGCCAGCGGAGACTCACTCTGACGGGACCTGACTGCTGGGTGTGCCCTTGTGCACGGACCTGAGCTCCGTCTGTGGGTGCTGAGGCTTCCCTCCCCACCTGCAGCCGGTCCCTAGGAGCGGTAGGGAACCCTCAGACAGCCCTGGGGTCAGTGTCCTGGCCCACTTCACCCTTCACGTCTCCATCCACACTCAGCTGTTCCTATGTGGGATTTTTTGTAGGAAAAGAAAATTATTCTCACATATTTTGCTCCAACTCCAGAAGCCTGCAAGCACCTCTGGAAATGTGGGATCGAGAACCAAGCCTTCTACAAGTGAGTGAATACCTGGGGTGGGGACTGCCTTGATCAGGGCCAGAGTCAGAGAAGCAACTTTTAGAGCAATGATGGGCAGGAAACCAAGAATCTCTGACAAAGGTGAAGATGAGATGACAAAGCTGGGCTTCCTTATAAAACCCAGAGCCCTTTCCGGGTGACTGGTTGTACCAGCTAGAGGGTCAAAGCTGAGGTCTGGGAAAGTGCCTCAGAAGAGGCACTACCCAAGGGGTCTACACTGCCCAAGGGGTCTACCTTGTGATGTCCTTGGACAGCCAACCCCCACCCCCATCCCCCATGGCAGAGCACTTCTGTGTCTTCCCAGGGGAAGACTTGGGCCAGAGAAAGCCCATGGGTATCCGACTGTAAGCTAGCCCTGTGGAGCCATTCAGAGGCCTGGGCGGCCCAGAATACAACAGCTCCATGAAGGAGCAGGCACAGCCCAGAACAGTTTCCTAAGTCTTGGAGAGACTCCGGGGCCCACTCCCCCGTGGGTGGCCTGCTGCTGAGCTGGAGTGAGGCCCAGCCCTTCCTGGTATGGTGCTGACAGAGATGTTGCCAGTGACAGGCCAAGTGCCCAGAAGCCCAGCGTTGGGGTAGCTGGAGGGAGCAAGGACTTGTCTGTTACTGAGATACCAGCTTTGGGTCAAAGGCAAGAGCACAGCTTACCAAACGATTTTGTAAAGTTATACTGAGGCTTTTGTGCCCAGTTTTAAGAAAGTGGGTATAAAAGCATTAGGAAACAAAGAAATAGCCCATCAGGAAACCAGGGTGATGCCAGAAAAAGTATGTTTCGCTAAAACTCTTGGTCTTGTTTTTAAAACAGAATGTAATGATTTATCCCTTAATAAGCTGCACCTTGATCAGAACAACAAAGACAGAATGTGTAGTATATTCCTCCTCTGACAGGCCATAGTTCTCCCTGTCAGGGGAAGGGGGCTGGGTGGGCGGGGGGGGGGGGGGGTGCGGTCAGGGGGCCCCATCCTCCCCACTCCAAGGACTCTGCTACCTGCTGTGGGATGTCTACCAGGGCCCCAGAAGCTGTTCCTTGGGCAGGCTTTCTGAGCTGTGTAGTAACAGCATTTGATACCAGAACTGGGGGGAGGAACTGAATTGGCAGCCTGAACTCTCACCTGAGTAGGCTTCTTTCTTCTCGTGGAGAAGGCACTCGGAAGACTTAGATGTGGTCCCATTTCCCTCCTGTTCAATCCCTGGCTGTCCGAGGGAAGCCCGGAGAACATCTCAGCATCGTTTCTGGAGGCCTGCCTTGGTTTTCCCCCCTGTGCCATGGGAAGAGAACTGAGCTTCTGAACCTTTCGTTAATAGAGCTCCATACCTTGACAGCACCCACAGTGGAAACCAGGGCTGCTTGCCACTGTTTTCCACTGACTACTAATTAAATATTAGAAGCCTGCATTCTGGGTCAGATCCCCATTTATCCCAAGTCTCTAGCAAGAGCCACTCTGGCCTCACTCTGAACATTTGCCAAGTGCTCAGATCCCTGCCATGCTTCTGGCCTAGGGTTTTACAAGGTGCTGGGTCAGACTCAAGAATGTGCTCAGATAAAAATGTAACTTTATGTATCTGACATGTATTAAATATTTTGAAGCAAAAAAAAAAAAAAAAAAGAATGTGCTTAGGCAGGAGGGCAGGTAGGCTCAGAGCCTCATGGAGCCCTGACCCAGGTAGGGATGGTGTCCCGGAAACTGCTGTTCCTGGGTTATAGGGACACCTCCCTAAGTGTCTGCTGACCACTCAGGACAGAGGCTTTGGACCAGATGGGTTCCCAACTGGGTTAGTACAACACGCACCCAGGGTGTGTTGTGGGTGGAGTTGGGTCTTAGGGGACTCAATCTGGGGAGCTCTGCCCAAGCTTCCTTGTCTAAGTGTGAGAGGACTAAAGAGGTCACAGAGGTCACTCAAGAGGATAGAGAGGCTGTCCAGAGTCTCCACCTCAACTATCCACAGCCTCGGAAGCAGTGTTAATAGGTACTCTGAGAGAGGGCGAATGGTTCCGAGTTCAAATAAATGGTGGAACTTGTACTAAAGTTCAGCTAGTTTCTTCATTTCAGGACTTTTCAGAGCCTCTAAAGTGATACCAAATCAGTTTCTCTCCGAGGAGGAGACGGAATAGGAAGGCAGACTGCTCTCTTCTCCACCCAGTTACCCAGATATCAGCATGAACTCTCGATGCTGGGTCTGGAAGGGACTCCTGAGGTCAGGCAGCCCCAGCTCCACTGTTTCATAGAGAAGACTGGGAGAGGAAAGAGAACCTGCCCAGGGCACGCTGCTAACCAGAGGCCTGGCTGAGATTCAGCGGGTGGCATTCTCTTCCTCGCCCAGGCCCCCGGCCCTCATGTTTACTCTCTCGGTCTCCCTGGAGAGCCCCATCCGGCGCTCTTGAGGAGCCCCTACACTCCTGATATGGAAGCAGGTTGCAGCCTGCCTGCCCCCAGCACTGAGGCCGTGGGCGTGGCCCTCAGGGGCTAAAGGAGAGTCGGAGAGAAGCTGGGCTGCGAAGGGCCTTTTCCCAAAGGGTTTCCTCAAGTAGCCTTTGGAAGGAGCTGGGGACGCACTGCCTTAGGCTGTAAGGCCTTGCAGGCCATCTGTCACACTGGACTTTGCCTTGCTGCAGGCTGGAGAAGTCAAGCCAAGTCCGCACAGTGTCCAGCAGCAATTTATTCTTTAAAGGGAGCCGGTTCCGATACAGGTAAATAGTGACAGTAAGTAACCACTACGGACCTATTTTCAGACCCTTCCCTGGAGCACAGTGGCTCAGTGGTCCTCACCCTTGAGAACAAGATGCTGCGAACCTCCAGAAAAGCCTGTGGTTTCCATCTGCTTCTCCTATCTCCTAACCCTTTGACAAAATTTCCTTCTCTGCAGCTGTCTGCCTATAGGGCTTGACAATATGTATCTTCTCCTCCTGCTCTTACAAAAGCAGCAGAATAAGAACTGTAACAGTGATGCTTCTCATTTTTGTCTAAAGATCTTTTTTGGGGGGGGAATATTTTTGGAACACGCTGGACAATGAGGAATCATTCTTAAATGAGAACGGAAGATCCCAAAGACTCCAGATAGAGAGCTGTCAGGATGCCTTAGGGCTCTTTACCCCCACAAGCAAGCCCTTCTCAGTGACCTGAACATTGGGATGGGGTAGGCCAAACAGGCTACTCCCCAGGGCAGCCAGAGTTCTCTGAGCTCTTAGGAGCACACCCTGGAACACTGTCTCACCTCCTGCTGCGTGTCTTCTTTTATTACCTACAGTGGCCGAGTTGCAAAGGAAGTCATGGAATCCAGTGCCAAGATCAAGCGGGAGCCGCCGGAAATCCACAGGTGGGCTGCCAGGGAAGGCCATGACGGCTCCCAAAACAGGCGGAAGGCTGAAGAGACCAGTCTCGGCCAAAGGCCTGGGGAACAGGCTGACCCTGGTTCCCTGAGCCCTGATGGAGAATGAGGGTAGGTGGGTGAATGCAGCCAAGACAATACATGGGACCCAGGAGCCACCTTCCCAAGGCAGGTAATTCTCTACGTCATCCCAAGTCCTCAAATTAGTCACAGAGCTCAGAGGACACGCCCAGGCAGCAAGATTTCATGGGTTCTGTAAACAATCCATGAAAGGAAGCCAGTCACACTAGGTCTGAAATAGTTTCAGGATCCATGCTTTATGTGTGACTGTAAATCAGGCATGTCCAGGAGTCCATCTCCTAGAACCTGACGAGACCCGGAGAGAAGACGATTGGCTAAGAGGGCTGGGGTTGCCGCCAGCCTGACCTCTGTGAATGGGACAGGTCGTTACTCGTGCCTTCACATGGAGCCACAGCCACCAGCAGCCCCTGTGGGAAGTCAGGGGAGGCTGCAGAATCGGTCTTAGGCACCTTTTTAGGAGTGCCGCATACCCTGGGCTCTACCCCCCGACAGTCCTGCCTAGGGACTGGTGGCACCGTTGCCACTAAAGAAAGGTTCCAGTGGGTCTGGGATGTTAGGAGGTTGACAGGTTTGAAGTAGTGTCTCTGACTGGGATCTGAGGACTAAAGGCAAAAAGCAGGTAATTATGATTTTCAAAAACAAAACACAGCCAGGCAATTCTAGTAACTAGAATACAACTAGTCAACTCTACATCTGTCTGTGCACTGAGTCAAGAGTTTTCTTTTTCTTTAACCTCAGAGCGGGGATGGTCCCCAGCCGCAGCTGTCCCTCCATAACCCACGGCCCAAGGCTGAGCAGCGTCCCCAGAACCCGCAGGAGAGCTGTTCACATCTCCATCATGGAAGGTAAGCCCGAGCTCTGGAGGTGACCCAGGGTCCCTCTACATAGCAGGCTTTCACTTGTGTTCCAGATCTGATACCCGGTCTCTACAGCCTAAAGGATCAAGGTGGGTGAGGCAGTTAACCAGAAAATGAAAACTCTTTTGCATTTTGCATGGTTCTGAAGAATTCCAGTAGCTGCCAACCGTTTGTAGAAATCTGCCTTCTTGATGGAGGCAGGAAGAAAGACAAAGTCTATGTATCTTCACCCAGTAGCTGAGGCTGATACCCCTCCAATCTCTGGGCTGTTAATACCATGAGGAGACTCTAGGACTCTTGCTCCCAGCTGTGGTCACTGACCCGGGTTGCCCCACAGGCCTGATATAGGTATAAAGTTGAGTGCTTTCCTTTCTGAAAATGACGTTTTGTAGGGCCTCAGAAGGTCTCAAGGAACAGGACACAGAATACGACTGCTTCATACCTGTCTCTGTCCTGGAGGCTGGGGAGGGAAGGCCCTCTGCCCTTTCTGTGGGAATGCTATTTGTTAATGAAAATGGAGAATCGCTTAGGCTAGGAAGGACATTGTTCTGCTGCTCCTCTGGGAGGATCCTTGGCTTGTGCTTAGAATTTAATGATGTGTAAGTGACTGCATCACCCAAGTATGCTACAGAACTACAAATAGGCTAGGGGTTAAGAACCCTGGCCGGGCAACCACCATCAACTGCCTTAATTATGAGAGTATCATAGTGCTCCATTTGTAAAACTCCATGGGATTGTGAAGAAACTGGTGTATGTGCAAGTACTTTTATTATTTTATTGTTTTTGGTGGCACCAGATCTTCATTGTTGCGTGTGGGCTTTCTCCAGTTGTGGCAAGTGGGTGCTGTTCTTCGCTGCAGTGTTCGAGCTTCTCAGTGTGGTGGTTTCCTGTTGTGGAGCACAGGTTTAGTTGCTCCAAGGCATGTGGGATCTTCCTGGACAAGGGATTGAACCCACGTCCCCTGCGTTGGCAGGCGGATTCTCAAGCACTGGACCACCAGGGAGGTCCTGTGCAAGTACTTTAAAGAGATGAAAGCATTTACTGGGCAACAGCAAGCACAGTGCAAAGAGCCCTGGTCCAGAGAGCAAAGAGGAGGTCAGAATAGGAGCTCTGCCACACATTTTCTGGGGCAGATTGCTTAACCTCCCTGAGCTTATTGCCCCCACTGCAGAGAGGGGAATGGGTGTAGGCTGGGGGTGGCCTTGTAAACTACCAAGTATAACTGCGATGCGTTGTCATCAGACACTGCCCCCTGGTTTTCCCTCCTATCTTACTCTTCAGTGGAGAACTGAGCCTGGCTCTCTTCTTCTGGGGGGTGCATCTCAGCAAAGTGAATGTCTTCTCATCTTTTGAGGACACATATCTTCATCCCCTCTCTGAGGCCCTTCTTGCCATCTGTCTTGAGGCTGAAGCCATCAGGTCCATCCCAGGACTCCTGCAGGAAGTCGGGACAGCTGTCCTCCCAGAGAGAAGGCCACCCCCAGGGAGCTGGCACTAATACAAGTATCACAGAGCAGCCTCGGGCATTACTGCTCCCCAGTACAGGGAAGAACATCAAGAAAACCAGCATTCCCAGAAGAGGGAGACTGGGACCATCCAGGTGGGGACAGAAGTCATCGGGAGTAACTGCAAGCAGGATTAGCAACTCCACAAGGGTGGGAACACTGTCCTCAAGCTTCCCTAAGACGATCGATGGGGCCACCTCAGCTCCCAGCCAGCCCTGGCTATGCCTTCAGCCTCCTCCCATCATAGCAGCAGTAAGCTCCTCAACATCCAAAAGTCACCTGAGCTTGCAAAATGGCCAAGGACAATGCAGAGGCCACGCGAAAGCTGTGAGAGCAGAGAACCCGCTCTCCCCACAGGGCCAGGGCCCGGCCTCAGCTCAGCCTCAGAACTTGACACCTGGCAGATGACAGCCCAGCAGGCCTCCATCCCAGTGCTTCTCCCAAGCCACCCTGCTCCTCACGCCCCGTGCCCCAGGCTGCCTACAGATAAGCACAGCCTTCATCCCCACCCGGGGCCCATTCAGACTCGGGAGGGAGTAGGCAGCTCAGAACTGCCCCGGCAGGAATAAACTCACAGGCAGAATGAGAGGCAGGATGAGAAGAGGCAGATGTCCATCTGCCTTGGAAAAATACAAGACTTCAGCAGTTAAGTGGCTCTTACCAGTGCGTGCGTACACACTTAGTCGCTTCAGTCATGTCCGACTGTCTGCGACCCTGTGGACCATGGCCTGCCAGGCTCCTCTGTCCGTGGGATTCTCCAGGCGAGAATACTGGAGTGGGTTGCCATTTCCTTCTCCAGGGGATCTTCCTGACCCAGGGATCGAACCCACGTCTCTTATGTCTCCTGCATTGGCACCTGGGAAGCCCAGAAAGTAAATGGTTTCTTAAACGTGTAGAAGAGAGGTGTGTGCCATGTGCTTAGTCACTCAGTGACGTCTGACTCTCTGCAACCCCATGGACTAGAGCCCAACCCAGGGATCAAACCCACATCTCTTGTGTCTCCTGCACTGGCAGGCAGATTCTTTACCACTGTGCCACCTGGGAAGTACAGGGGTCATGAGCCTAGTGAAATAAAGAATGGATCATTTCAGGAGGAGAGTGTTCAGCTGCATCATCTCTGAAGGAAGGTTTTGCCTTTAAAGCCCCTAACATGGCTGATCCCCACTGTCCACCCAACCAGGCAGGGAAGGGTAGGAGGGACGTGATGGGGGCCTCAGAGAAATGGCAAACCATCAAAACTCCCAGGAAGTTATGGACATTTGAAATGGGTTCATGCTCCATCAGGGGTTGTCTTTCCTGCAGTCCACACACCATGTAAATTGTTATCACAGAAACCATTTGCCTTTTCCAGGGGAAAGCTTTGTTTTTCTCGAAAAATGGGGTAAACTGCAAAAATGTTAATGTAACACTATAGTTTGAATGAAACCATGTAATCTCACTGAACTGAGACCTTTAAACAGAAGCCTGGCCCTGCCCTCTGCTCTCAGGGATGCCAAGATAACACGTTAGCACAGGCCTGACCCAGAGAGGACACTCAAGTATGTCCGTTCCCATCACTCACGGTACCCCCGGGACACCAGTCAGCAACCAGAGTGCACAGCGGAAGAGAGGGCCCGTTTCCAGCCGCAGAGCCTCCTCCTCACACCTCACAGCCTCGAACCACAAGGCCCCCTGCCTCTGCGGCTTCACATCCTCGGTTTTCTGGGGCAGTCCCGCTTCCTCTCCCCTCTGGCATCACCCTACCCTCTCAGTCCCTAACCCTCTGAGAGGCCTGGGGCCCTGATAACGGGCCTCAGGGAACCAGCTCTACGGGCTGGGAAAACATTCCTTTTTATGGGTCTAAGTGCTTCTGACCAAATCCAGGGCCCTGATAAGCCTGGCCTCTCAGAGCCGCTCTGCTGTCTCCAGCACGGGAGGCACTGTGAAGGGGCTGCCGTGGCGTGTGGTCAGTGGAAAGGCCTTCGTCCCTGGCTGGGTTTCCATCCGTGCACCAGTACCGTCTCTTCCTGGCGGGTCCCACGAGGAGACCAGCTGGTTTCTGCTGAAGGTGTGCCTGCCTTCCTGAGCCACCATGGGGAAGAGCCTGATTAGGATCCACACGCGAGTCCGAGCTCAGCTCCGGCTGACTAACCACTGCCTCCGGCCCCTGAGCGTGCGCATCCTGAGGCTGGGGCCCCGGCTCCAGGGGAGGCTCCTGACCGTCGTGCCCCCCAGCCCACTGGGAGCGGACTCCAGGCAAGGCGATCAGCTGGAGCGCCTCCAAGGTAAAAAGACACCCTCTGTCTTGCTGTGCTGCCCACCCGAGCCATCCCAGAACAGGTATGAGGCGAGTGATGGTTTCTACTGAAACCTGAAGCTCTGTACAGGACCAACCTGGCACAGGAATGATGATTTAAGATCACCTCGCAGGGGGATCTGTGAGTGGGTGGCCATTCCCTTCTCCAGGGGGTCTTCCCAACCCAGGGAGCGAACCTGGGTCTCCTGCACTGCAGACGGAATCTTTACCGTCTGAGCCACCAGGGAAGCCTGCTGTTGGGGGAACAGAAGACCAATATTTACTGAATAATTCTGTCTGTCAGGCGCTCTCCTTAGGGAAAAAATGCACGCGTAGCCAGTGTCTTGCTTGCTGAGAGCACCAACTCACGATGAGGTGGCTTCTGTGGCCCCGCTGATTACGCCTTCTCATGCCGTGGCCTTTGCCTCACCTTCCCCAGCAAGCTTAGAGCTGAACTGTAGGCCAAGCTGAGACTGCAGTGAAGTGGCTTCTGGCAGCTAATCTGGTCATATGCTGCAAGGTCTGCCATCAGAGCTGTCCTTGTGAGGTGCAAGGGAGCGGAGGTTCCAGAGAACGGAGAGCCACAAGAGGATTTGAGAAAGGAGCTGAGCCAGCATCCTGTGCAGTCAGGGCCTGAAGAGGTTTGTTTTATCAGGAACCCATTTCACACTCCCAGGTACGTGTTTCTCATGTTACACGTGCAATGCGGGAGGAAGGGAGGAGCAGAGAGCAGAGCAACATTGAAGGCGCTGCAACAAGGGACAGGCTCTTATCTTATTTCATGACGGTTTCTTGGGCAACTTAAATCTAAGGCAGGTGCAGGCTATTCACTTAATTCATCCTGGCCCGCTGTTCCACACCCCGGAATCCAGCTGGATGGTCATTAGCACCATGGAATAGAAAGATGCTAGGACTCTACCGTCGCCTTTGCCAGTAACCACCAACCACATGATTCTGGCAAGTTCTGTAACCTCTTGCCCTCTCTAGTTCATGAAGAATGTTGAAAGATGAAAGTGCTTTGAAATGTTTAAAACATTATATACAGATATAAGAGTTTAGAACGTAGAGACAAAGGAAATACAGCCAGGACCATGAAGCTTCTGAAAGCAGGAGCTGAAAGCTGTGGCAAATACACTAATGGTGATGTGATGGGGAGCAGAGGCGGAGAACGGGAGGCTGCCATCTCCCCCATCCGCTCGTTTGTTCCTCTGGAGAACCTATAACTGCACACATGCTGAGATGGGCTGAAGCAGCCTGGGCAGGCAGGTGGCCTGGCTGCAACTGGCTACCCTACAAGGAAGCTAATGAAGATGAGACACACCACTTCTGAAAGGTGACTGGCACCTTTTAAAAGAGACCTTTGGGCTTTTGAAGCCAACCCTGAGCCAGAAAACTCCCTAAGCAGCCCTGGTTAGGTCAGATCTTTACTACCTGGGAATCTGGTTCAGTCTGGGGCAGTCAAGGTCGATTTCAGAGCAACAGAAAGGGACAAGCTTCTCTTGATGTGGACCACAAAGATAGGGAGAGCCACTCCGGCACCACCAGTATGTCCAGGAGTGGGAAATGCAGACACTGAATCTGAAACAAGAAGCCTTTCTCTTGGGAGCACTCTGACGGGGGCCACAGTCGGCCAGTCCGAGTCCACATCCTCAGGCCTGGGTGGCCGCTGTGTGGTTGAGGGAGGTAACCAGTTCCTATTTTTCCCTACCAGAGAGCTCAAGCTCTGGAAAGAGAAATGTTCTAAGAGAATAATGAGCGGTGTTAGGGCCAAAAGACCCTTCCTCCTAACAAACGTTAAGAGAATTTCCCACTGGTCCTCTTCTCAGAGACCACTCTGTACTCCAGGCTGACAGCTCCCATGGTTTTACCTATTCTGGACCCGGTTCAATTGAAGGTGAAAAGAGAGGGCAAGCACCTAGGAAGAGCAGGTTGGGTTTTCACCCCACTCAAGGTTAGTACAGCTAAAAGTGGAGGCTGAAGAGACTGACAGCAACTGCAGAAGTCCAAAAGGTGAGCTCACAAGTTCAAGGAGCGGTGTGTTCAGTGTCAGGAGGACACTCAGCTCCACAATAGGCAACTGATGAGGCCCCACTGGGCCAACAGTCTCCTCCTCATTCCTGCCTCTTAAGACCCTCGGAGATCCCTGAACCAAGACCCCAGTTCTGGGTCAGAGATAGTCGCAATTCTCTTTCAGCTTGGGCTGGAGCCAGGACGCCAAAGGCAGGAAAGGCAGAATCAGTAACGAATATGGCCAAATCTATAAACAAAAAGGGGTGGGGGGGTGGGGACCAACGTACAACCAGTGACACTGTGATTCCTGTTGCTTCTCTGGTCCTATTCTTGATACATCAAAACAGAATGCAGGAGCGATAGCGGCTAGCCACGTGGGGCTGCAGAGGGGCTTCCTAAGACTTCAGTGACCAAACAGAATGGGGCTGCCTCCACCAGACAAAGCATGCGCCAGTACACAGAAAGCCTGCTCACTTCCCCTTTGTCTTTCCAGGCCTCGAGTCCCTGCGGGACAGCGCCCACTCCACCCCGGTACGTACCTCCTCCCACGGGGACACTTTCCTGCCTCACGTGAGAAGCAGCCGGGCAGACAGCAACGAGCGAGTCGCCGTGATCGCGGACGAGGCCTACAGCCCGGCGGACAGCGTGCTGCCCACCCCTGTGGCCGAGCACAGCCTGGAGCTCATGCTGCTCTCCCGGCAGATCAACGGGGCGACCTGCATCGAGGAGGAGAAGGAGTCTGAGGCCAGCACCCCCACTGCCGCCGAGCTGGAGGCCCTCGGGGGCGAGCTGAGGGCCCTGTGTCAGGGGCATGGCAGGCCGGAGGAGGAACAGGTGAATAAGTTTGTTTTAAGTGTCCTCCGTTTGCTCCTTGTGACCATGGGACTCCTCTTTGTTTTGCTCCTCCTCCTGATCATCCTTACTGAGTCTGACCTTGACATTGCCTTTTTCCGCGATATCCGCCAGACCCCCGAGTTTGAACAATTCCACTATCAATACTTTTGTCCCCTCAGGCGATGGTTTGCCTGCAAAATCCGCTCAGTGGTGAGCCTGCTCATTGACACCTGAGAAGGCATGAATCCTCCCAATAACTAGCCAGGTGGACCAAGGAGCCCGGCTACCCATTCCCAGCAATGGGACCCATCGCGGAACCATCGGCACATGTACCAAGTCCTCCTCTCATGACTCAAAAAGTCCACAGCCTAGGAGGGTCGTTTCCCAGAAGAAGAAAGGGGATAGGCACACGCCTTGTCTAAACTAACTGGGAAAACTCATTTCCTTCAGAGGTTCTCTCAAGAAAGGCTCAGCAACTCCGTTTCTCATCCTCCCAATTTGCAGGATAATTTTTGGTTCTGATTTTTGATTTTTCATAGATGTGTATTATTTTGAAAATATCAAAAATAATTTATTTTGTTATTACTGATTCTCGCAGTAGTGTCGCCCAGCAGACGGGACACTAGTTGAAGACTAGAGGGCTGGCGTCTTCTGCTTACTGCAGGAGCTTCCCTGCTGGGGGCCCAGCAGACTCATCACTGCAGCCTCAGCAGGGCAGGTCAGGGGCCGGGACAATGGGGACTGTCTAGGTTTTCTTCCCAGACAGAGCTTTTAAAAAAAAAAAAGTAAACATCCATGTAGAACGATTAAATGGAAAGTTGCTTCTTATGACGGTCTGAGTTGGATTTTCTTTTCCTTTTCTTTCTTTCAAATCTGAGCAGAGTGGGCATCTGAAGGGACCACCCCCCACAGCAGCAGGGGTGGGGTAAGTCTGTCCCCTTAGACTAGAGCCTAGTGAGCATCACCATGAGTTCTGTATAATGAACTTAGACTCCGTGACTTTTTTCTAAGGACCTCAAGACTTTTACAGTGCTCCAGAAGCAATAGGTAAATTCAGCGGTGCCAGGAGTAGACAGCACTGTCAGACGTTGGACCAAGTACAGTTAACAGAAACCAGAGCTAAGGCAGCAGAGAGACTGTTGAGATCAGACAGCAGTACTTATTTTGTATACCCCTCTCCCCCCAGAAAAGACTATTTCAATTTAAATTTTAACAACAAAATATTATTTTATCAATTCACCTTTTGTTTTTACTTTATGGAGTAAGAAAAATAGAGCCTGATGAACTTAAAGATGCAAGAAAGAAACCGATCCTGAGAATGAAAAGCTTCAGAAAATAGAATTCCAAGATCAACCAAACAGCCTTGGAAGGGACCAGGAAAAGAATCTCATTTTTTTTAAACAAGAGTTCTAAGAGATGCCTCCAAAAGAAGGTGAACGTGGCAAAGACCAACACTTAGCTGTAGAAACACTGCCCCCTAGGGTCATCCTCTGCACCAGGAAGATGAAAGCTGTAGGAAAGCGCTGGCTCTCTTGGCTGAGAGCCGTGGAAGCAGGCAGAAGTGTGAAGGGTGAGTGTGGAGTCTTCAGTCCAAGCTCCGCAACACTTATAGCCGCTCACACAAAAAACTTGTTTTCATCTCAGGGAGAGATTTCCAAGTCATCTGGGGCTGGAGGATGTAGGCAGGACGGTCCGTGGACAGATTCCTGGGGCACGCAGAACAGAATGAGTCACATGCAGGTCTGCTTTGCCCCCGTGTGTTCTCTGAGGTGACAGAACCATATCCATGTACAGAATATCACAGCCATGGAGATAAACAGAGTTCTTTTTGAAGGTGGGTATTGCAAAATTTCAAATGCCCTTTTATCTAGGCCAAGGGTCAGCAAACTTCTGTAAAGTGCCAGGTAGTAAATATTTTTAAATTTTGGTTTTGAAGGCCATACTCAGTAGCAACTACTCCACTCTGCTGTCTTAGCACAAAAACAGCCACAGGTAATACATAAAGGAGCAAGGCTGCGTTCCAACAGAATTCTTATTTATAAAAACAGACGGTGAGCTGAACTGGGCCCACAGGCCAGAATTTGCCAACCCCAATCTAGACAACAGAACTGTTTCTTACCAGTGTGTAAGCAGGAGGGCCAGTTCTGCCCTGATTCCTGACAGGTAAAGATCCAGGATCATTTCCCAGTAGAGGCGCTGGGCTTGCTTGTTTAAAGGGTGCTTGAACAACCAACCAGCAGAGATGTCTGATGCCATGATGAGCAAGATCAAGAACTGTAATGCTAATATGCAGCCAGAATCAAAGCCTGGAAGAGGGCCTGTCTGATCATTTCCATACCAGCAACAATTTGGGCAGAATTGCAAACATCTGTTTTCCAAGTGACAAGACAAAAACTGAGGGAGATCCTAGTAAAGATTAGGGATCACTCAGAACCAGAGAGCCACTGCCACTTGTCATCTACGCAGGAAAGGCTTTACTAGCAGATCTCTTGAGTGAGAAGTAGACTCAAAGAGGACAAGGCTGTCAGGAGACAGGGGGCTGGTTTTACCCTGGATATCTACTGTCTTATGCAACATAGCAGATTACCTTTTAGTGTAGTGTTCCTACCTCAGTCTGTAGAATATGGTGTTTCTATGCAGTGAGTGATAGCCTCGACTCTGACCTTTCATGTTCACATTAACAAAAGATGCAGTATTCCATATCTTGGTATGTTACTTGTATCTAGAGTTCCAGCGGTACAACAGTCCACACCACTTCCAACAGCGGGATTTGCTCTCTGAACAGAAACTTGTGGGTTATTTTTTTCCAGGGCTTATCCTACAAAATACAGATAGAAAAGTCTCCTTCAATTTGCTTTTCACATAATGCTTGAATAACAAACCTCCTCTGTTGGTGACTAGTCTTTTTTGGTATCTCCCCATCATTAAAAGTTGTTCATGTTTTTTAACCTAGTTTTACTGTGTTCCACTATGTCTATTTTCTCTCAAAATTAGTTTGATCTCATTGTAGAAAAAGCAATGGTTTCCATAGCTTCATCTATCAGAGGAAATAAAACTTTTACTGAAGAATAGTGTACTGCATCTTTAAGCAGTAGAAGGTAAACTACCTGCAAATGTGAATTTCTTAGTTTCATTAAAAAATATATATATAGTTGTTAACCTTTCGTGTGCCAAAAATTCTGTTACATTTTCCTTCAGAGCAATGTACTTTTTTCTACATATGCAGTATGTAGTTAGCATAAAATCACTGGTGCCATGAAAATTATTTTTAAACTTAAATAAATATTTAAATATCATAGAAGAGAGTGGACTCTTTTCTTCTTTTTAACTGACAGCCAGTCTCACTTTCTCCTCCTTTAAGTTAACAGCCCATAGATAAAAGGACACCAGTGGGGTTTACACAGCTGACTGCTGTCTGTGACTGGAATTATTCAAAAGAATCACTTTGCTTAGAGTCATCTATTATCCTTATTCCTCCCCCCAGATAAATACTATTAAGAACTTAGGGACATATGTATACCCATGGCTGATTCATATTGAGGTTTGATAGAAAACAAAATTCTGTACCAGCAATTACCCTTCAATTAAAAAATAATTTTTTTAAAAAGAACTTATAAGCTTTAAGTGTGGAATGATTTTAAATATGAATTGGACCTCGTTTTTCTGATGAGAAAAAACAAGAAATTATTTTCCCAAGGTTCACAGTCTTAGAGCCCAGAGGAGACCCTAGACGGTCCAACTTCTGAACTCCTATTAAGTCTGGAGTGAGAAAGAGAACAGAAAACACTTCCTATAAAGGGAACAGGATGACCTCAACACTACAGTGACAAACCTTGTACTTACAAGTACTTTCAGCATCCATTCCTTTAACACTATCTCATTTCATATCTGTAACCACTCTATGGCTACAGGCTGGTAATGGTCTTCTAAATTCCATGAGCATAAAAGATGAAACTAAGGTCCACTGTGCTACTTATTATTTAACCTTCTTGTTTTCAATTCTACCTGCCCTCCAACCCTCCATTCTGCCACTAGATCATCTTCTGAAAGCAGTCACCTCCAAATTTTAAGAGATTCCTATTACCTTTAAAATGATATCCAGTATCCTGTCCCCAGTGAAGTTTTTTTCCTAATTGACAAAAATCTTTGCTTAAAGTGAGCTGAAGAGGAAAAAGCATGAGAACCACTGGATAAGAGTGGTTTCCCATGATGCTACAGATTCACAGCTGCTGCCCTTCCTGGATAACTGATGAGGACTCACCTGTGTGCACATTCTTTCAGGGCCCCTGTCCAGACTCCCACTGCTTCGGTTTCCTCAGCCACAACCACGCTGCCACACCTGAACACATTTCTGCTCTTAGCTCCTGAACAGGCTTCCTCTACACACCCCTACCATGTGCTGATGGAGTGAAGTAAAACACCCCAAAGAGACTTATAAAACATTTCCTCGCAAAGATTCTATTTTAGCAAAACATATATTAAGATGTTTTATTTCTCATTCTGGGTAACTGTACTAAATGTTATCTTCCTCACAAAAATCCACCTTTTAATTAGAAAAGTCAAACACAGCCAAATGAACCAAAATTATGGGTCTATGCTGTCTTATAACTAAAACTCATGATTGGCCATCAGTGAAGTGAAAGTCGCTCAGTCGTGTCCAACTATTTGCAACCCCATGGACTATACAGTCCATGGAATTCTATAGGCCAGAATACTGGAGTGGGTAGCCTTTCCCCTCTCCAGGGGATCTTCCCAACCCAGGGATTGAACCCAGGTCTCCTGAATTGCAGGTGGATTCTTTACCAGCTGAGCCACAAGGGAAGCCCAACTCTGTATTAAAAAGGAAAAACAAAACAAGTACTAAATCAGAAGGGACAGCCTGACAAATGAGATGCCTAAGTTTTTGGAATCTGAAGACAGAGGGCATCTATTTTTTCCTCTCAGGTTTGATACTGAAGGCACTTCTCTGCCCTCCTCCTCTTCCCCTGTACACTGGCTGAAAATATTTAAATCTTTGTATCCACAGCCCTAAAGCTCTCTGCTTTCCTGGAGAAGTGTCTTTGCAAACTCTTCTCTGTGGAAAGGTAACTCAAAAGCCAGAATACTAAAACAGGTCTCAAGCAATTAAGAGTCTATCAGTTCCTAATCACTTGCAGTTTCTCTTAGTCTGACCAAGTCTCCACTCACCCCAAATGAGATCATCTCCTTCCTCCTCAATGTCACATTAAGAAAAGAAGTCAGGTATCTCAAAGAAAATACCACCAGTAGAATTCAGAACTTACATGGTTATGAGATATTATAAAGGCCAACTAACACAAAAGGTTTATCCGGAAAGGAGAGAGTGCAAACATAACATACACATAATTACAGAAGCCACATGGCTTTAAGCAAGTCTCTGGGAAAAGTGCCTTTCACAACAGAATACAGTTTAAGCATGTCCTAAGGGAGACAATTGTCCTTTATGTGCTTTCTAGATTTAAACAATTATTTCATTATAGAGCTTACCATGAAGAAACAAGCCCCTACTGACTCTCCTTCCTGCACTGCCTCAAGAAGACAAAACTCTTGAATGGATATAAATAGCACAGTTTATGAACCTACAATGGCAAAAGAGACCACAAAAGTGAGAAACATCAAGAATTTTCTAACATTTATAGCAGAAACCAGGCAATTACCATGAAGTATTCAAGGCTTAAATGACAGTACTAATTTGATTAAGAGTAGTTTTCAACATGTTAAGAAAAAGAACAATTCCCACAGAACCAGCCACGACTAGACTCTATAAAATTAACTGGTGTAGAAAAGGGAAAGGGAGCCTAAAGTCTTTCCAGAACACTATTTCCAGAACACTTTATAACATATCTCAACCTCACATAGGGCTTCCCAGGTGGCGCCAATGCAGGAGACATTAAGAGGTGCGAGTTCTAGTTTGATCCCTGGGTCAGGAAGATCCCCTGGAGGAGAAAATGGCAACCCATTCCAGTATTCTTGCTGAGAGAATCCCATGGACAGAGGAGCCTGGCAGGCTACAGTCCATGGGGTCGCAAAGAGTCTGATAGAACTGAGCATTTAAGCACATGCACCTGTACAACTTCACAGAGCCTTATTTTGTATTTCATAAATCAATATTTCCACCTTGCTTATCAATTCCTGTATTCCAGCACCAAGAAAAGAGAGAAGCCCTATTCCTTATAAATACCCATAACCTTTTAATAAGCTTCAAAACTTATTCAGTCTTTAATTACAGAGAAGGAAATTACTTAAGAAAAACGTTGGCACTTCCCTGGTGGTCCAGTGGTTGAGCAGGTCCAATCCCTGGTCAGGGAACTATATCCCACATACTGCAGCTAAAGATCCTGCATACTGCAATGAAGACTGAGGATCCTGCATGCCACAACTAAGATGTGGCCCAGCCAAAGAAAAAAAAATGTTATTCAAGGAAATTATATACATCACTTTATTTTTATGACATACAATTCTGAAGAAATCCTCTTAGAAATCAGGCATATTGCTGAAAGTATTTACAACAGTCTTTCAGTAGTCATTTGGCAATGAAGAACAACAGAAAATGTTGGATAGATAATAACACACAGTAATCTCAGTCGCTGATTTAGTAGTGTCCAACAACAGACACATTCAAGTTGCCACAGCTTCTGAAAACAAATATTTTTAATGAATAAATGCCAGAAATGGTATTCCATAACACTTTACCAGGCTACTAAATCTCCTCTGGAGAGTTTAAAAGACAAAGACACACAAAGCTGGCTGGGACCTTCTAAGGTAGGAGCTCTTCTTTAACCATGACCCACAGTACCATAGTAATAAAGAAATACATTTTACATCATAAAATATATATGCATGTATACCTATAGCTATGTATGCATATGGAACTAAGCTTCACAAAAGAATATTTGTTCTAATTATGTTTGCTATTCTATACTATTCGTCTCCTTTTCATTTAGACACTGGTCATGGTCACTTAACTTACATCAATAGCTACAACCCAGAGTCTGGGAAACAGTGGTGTGAAGGTAATCTCACACTGGGTGACAGGGATTAATATATTCCAACCCTGTGCCTACAAGCCCTGGGACTCGCTCGCTGTGTCTCAGGAGCCATGGAGAGGAGGGCAGTGGGGAGAAGGTCAACACAGGAACCCAGGCCCTGCCCAAGTGAACCACAGCTTCTCAGCAATTATCTTGGGATTTCATGTAAGATTTAATTTAGAGGCAAGGCGGGGAAAGTGCTCAGTTTAAAAAAAGTTTCAAAATCACTCAGATGAGATAACCTTTCAGGATCCCTTCCAGTGTATATAAGTCTAGAAATAAGTATGTATTTCAAACTGTAAAATAAACCACAAATCTATATATGACTATAGAATCAAGGCAACAAACCCAAAACACTGATCACTCAAAGCTTTGTAATTTATAATGAGAATTTCTCAACATTCTGCCTGGTTAAAAGTGCTGAAGGCATCACAGTCACCCCTCCAAAGCCCTTACCATCCTACAGAAACAACCTCCAAGGCCTCCCTCTTCCTAAGTACATTCTGTTCATAATTCTTATTTACAAAGCAAGTTTAAATTCACTAAATAGTACATATTACCAAGTAAACAGACTAAGCCACATGAATTACTAGGCTCCTTAGGCAGATTAATTTGAACAAATTGGTGTTTCCAAACCAAAAACTCCACAACTTTCTTAATTCATAAAAACATGTACCCTCCCACTGGAATTACCTCCAGCCAAAATATACTGAGTTGGGTGCATAGCATTGATAGAACACACAGAGGCAAGGCATTCTCCACCCAGAAAAGAGTGCACCCACTTTCCTGTCTCGTGGAAGATTTCCACTCGCCGTGGATGGGCCATGCTGCCAACTATGACACAGTCTTCCTGTTTAGGGTCCCACACAGCTTGGAACCTGGTCAGCCATCGCCCAGTGATGGTGTTGTGCCTAATGAAAAAACAATTTTTTTGAAAGACAATAAGTGTTAAATAACTCAAAATAGCATGGGCAGAGGGTAAAGATGGCACTCCTCCTAAATGCTGGTTTTCTCTGCCAAGTTTCAAGTTACTGAGTCATCAACGACCTAATCTTATCCTTCCTACAAAACTGAGACTCTGGAGAGAGATGCTGTCTGCATTTTGAACCTCCAGTGCTGAGTACAGTGGTTTGTGCTCAGTGGATGGTCACTAAACATACTGAAATGGCACCTTTTTTGTTCACTGTTTCCTAACTCAATGCACTCCCCTCCTTTTTTTTTAGCACATGCAAATACAAGACCTAGAATAAAGAAATATACAATCTAAGTTATTGCTGTTTAACAGAATCTATTTCCCATATTTGTATTCCCCTAATAACCAAACCCTGAAATCATTTTATAGTCTATACAACCTTAAGGTAAAACGTACTTTGGGGGCTCAAAGAAAAAAATCACAAGGGAAATTAGAAGATATCTGTACACAAATAAAAATGAAAACACAACTACCAAAATCTATGGGAGCTATGAAAGCAATACTAAGAGGGAAATTTTTAACAGTAAACATTAAAAAAGAAGAAAGATCTCAAAATCAACACTCTTAACTACATCTCAAGGAACTGGAAAAAGAAGAATAATCAAAACTAAAAGTTAGCAGAAGGATAATAAAGATTAGAGATAAAAGAATTAGAGAATACAACAAAAACAATAGAAAAAATAAACTAATAGTTGGTTTTTTTAAGAGAAAAAAACTGGCAAGCTAGACTAAGAAAATAGGAAGTACAAATAACTAAGATAAGAAATGAAAGTGGGTCATTACAACTTACGTTACAGAAATAAAAAGCATTATAATACTATGAACAATCATACACCAATAAACTGGACAATCCAGAAGAAATTAATACATTCCCAAACACATAAAATTTACCAAGACTAAATCATGAAGAAATAGAAAATCTAACTAGAACTATAACTAGTAAGGGGATTAAAACAATAACCAAAAACTTCCCATCAAAGGAAGCCCAGGACCAGATGGCTTCGCTAAAGATTTCTATGTAACATTTAAGTAAGAATCAACACCACATGCTCCTCAAACTCTTCCAAAAGACTGAAGAGGAAGGAACAGTCTGAATTATGAGGCAAACACTTCTAATACCAAGCCAGACAAAGACCCTACTGGGAGAAAAAAAAAAAAAAGCCCTACAGACGAATATTCCTGATGAATACTGGTGTAAAATTCTCAACAAAACACCAGCAAAAAAATTCATACAGCACATTAAAAGGGTTATACACATGACTAAGTTGAATTTATACCTGGAATGCAAGGAAGGTTCAAAACAAAACCCAATTAATTGACATACCACACAAACAGAAAGAAGGACAAAAATCATAAGATCCTCTCAACTGGTACTGAAAACCATCTGACAAAATTCAGTACCGTTTCATGATAAACACTCAACAAACTAGGAACAGACAGAAACTATCTCAACATAATAAAATATGGGTCATATGTTAAAGGCGCACAGCTAACATTATACTCAATGACGAAAGACTGAAAGCTTTTCCTGTAAGATCTGGTAAAAGGCAAGGATGCCTTTCCTGCCATCTATTCAACATATTTAACACTAGAAATTCGGTAGAACTAGAAAACTGAGTAGAATTAAAGACTACACACACACACACACACACACACACACACACACACACACAGAGTTAAAACTAAATCTCAGCAAATTTGCAGGATACAATCAACACACAAAAATCAGTTGCATTTCTACACACTAACAATGACCAATACAGAAAAGAAAACAACTCCAGGACTTCCCTGGTGGTCCAGTGGTTAAGAATCCACCTGCCAATGCAAGGGACATGGGCTCAACTCCTGGTCTGGGAGATTCCACATGCCATGGGGCAACAAAGAATGTGCACCACAGCTACTGAACTTGTGCTCTAGAATCCATGCTCCTCAACAAGAGAAGCTACCACAATAAGAAGCCCATGTACCATAGCCCCTGCTCGCCACAACTGGAGAAAGCCTGCACACAGCAACAAAAATCCAGCATGGTCAAAAATAAATAAATATATTTCTTTAAATCCCATTTGTAATAACATCAACAAGAATAAAATATTTTGGAATAAATTTAACCAAAGATGTGAAAGATTTGTACACTGAAAACTACAAAGCATTTATAAAACAAATAAAGTGAAGTGAAGTTGCTCAGTCATGTCCGACTCTTTGCTATCCCGTGGACTGTAGCCCACCAGGCTCCTCTGTCCATGGGATTCTCCAGGCAAGAATACTGGAGTGGGTTGCCATCTCCTTCTCTAGGGGATCTTCCCAACCCAGGGATCGAACCCGGGTATCCTACATTGTAGGCAGATGCTTTATCCTCTGAGCCACCAGGGAAACCACAAAACAAATAAAAGACACAAATAAATGGCAAGACACAAATAAGATACAAACAGAGACACAAATAAATTGTCTGTGGATTAGAAGACTCAATATTGTTAAAATGTCTGTACTACCCAAAGTGATTTATAGAATTCAACCAATGCAATCAATCCCAAGGGCATGTTTTACAGAAATAGAAAAAAAAAAATCCTAAAATTAATATGAAAGCTCAAGGAATTACAAATAGCCAAAATAATCTTTAAAAGAACAACAAAGTTGGGGGCCTCATATATCCTGATTTCAAAAAATATACTACACAAAGCAACAGAAACCATGACAGCATGGAATTGGTATAAAGACAGATACTATGGACCAGTGGGATGGAACAGAGAGCCCATAAGGAAACTCTCACATTCCTGGTCAAATGATACTTAACAAGGGTGCCAAGACCACAAAATGGGGAAAGGAGAATCTCTTCAAAAGTGCTGCTGGCAAAACCAGATATCCACACACAAAAGAATAATAATGGACAGTAACCCTGATGGATCAGTGGTGAAGAATCTGCCTGCAATGTAGGAGGTGGGGGTTTGATCCCTGGGTCGGGAAGATCCCCTGGAGGAGAAAATGGCAACCCACTCCAGTATTCTTGCCTGAAAAATCCCATGGACAGAGAATCCTGGTGGGCTACAGTCCATGGGGTCACAAGAGTCATAGATGACGTAGTGACTAAACCACCATAACCTTATACTATATACTAAAATCAACTCAAAGTTGATTTAAGACCTATACCTAAGACTTGGAACTCTTAATAAAACACAGAAGAAAACACAGGGGAAAGTTTCAGTACACTGGATTTAGCAATGATTTTTTGGATATGACACCAAAAGTACAGGCAACAAAAGCAAAAGTAGACAAATCTACATCATACTTATAAACTGTGCAAAGGAAACAATCAACAGACTGAAAAGGCAACCCCCAAAATGGTAGAAAATATTTGAGAATCATATATTTGATAAGGGACCGATATGCAGAATATGTAAGGAATTCCTATAACTCAACAACAAAAATGATATAATTCAAAAATAAGAAAAAAAAATAAGCAAAAGACCTAAATAGACAATTTTCCAAAGAAGATAGACAAATGGTCAATAAGCATATGAAAAGATGTTTATCATCACTAATCATTACAGAAATGCAAATCAGAATCACAATGATATATTACCTCACAATCATCAGGATAAGTATTGATAAAGAGAAATTAGAACCCTAGTGCACTCCTGGAATGTAAAATGGTTTGGCACCTATGGAAAAACAGTATAGACGTTCCTCAAAAAATTGAAAATAGAATTATCAGATGATCCATTAAAATCTCCTTTCTGGGTATTATCCAGAAGAATTCGAAGCAGGATCTTGAAAAGATACCTTTACACCCATTTGTCCACTGTAGCATTGTTCACAATAGCCAAGAGGTAGAAACAACCCAAATGTCCATCAACAGGTGAATGGATAAAAAAAATATGGCATATACGTGCAATGGAGTTATTATGCAGCCTTTAAAAAGGGAGGAGAAAAAAAAAAGGAAGAGATCCTGTTACATGCTAGAACATGGATGAACATCGCGGACATTATGCTAAGTGAAATCAATCACCAAAAAAATATACTATATGATTTCACTCATATGAAATATCTAAAGTAGTAAAAATCATAGAAACGCAAACTAGACAGATGTCTGCCACAATCTGGAAAAGAGGGAGAGAGGAATTAATGTCTCATGGGCCAGGTTCAGTTTTGCAAGATAAAAAAATTCTAGAACTCTGTTGCACAACAACATGATCATACCTAATGCTAATGAACTGTATACATACAAATAGTTAAGGTGGCTGACTTACTGTTGCATGTTTATAATCACAACTAAAAATAAGGTAAAAAACAATTTAAATATATGTGGGGCTCTTCACTGCTCTCCAAAGCAAAAAACAAAGCACTGCCCTCTTATTCTCTACATCGCAACACCAACAGCCCTTTCTTATTAAAGAAGGATGAACAATGGAGAACCACATTTCCCACTGCCATTCAATGACCTTATCTCTACTGACCCCAGAATCGTCACCCTAATTTTTTTAAAATACACACTAGAAGTCAATAAACTAGAGTTAATAAAGTTTGAAAAAGGAAACGAAGAGGGGAAATTCTATGAAAAAGAAAATAAGCATATTAAATATAGCCTCTGCTGCTGCTGCTGCTGCTAAGTCGCTTCAGTCGTGTCTGACTCTGTGTGACCCCACAGACGGCAGCCCACCAGGCTACGCCATCCCTGGGATTCCCCAGGCACAACACTGGAGTGGGTTGCCATTTCCTTCTCCAGTGCATGAAAGTGGAAAGTGAAAGTGAAGTCGCTCAGTCATGTCCGACTCTGCGACCCCATGGACTGCAGCCTACCAGGCTCCTCCATCCATGGGATTTTCCAGGCAAGAGTACTGGAGTGGGCTGCCACTGCCGTCTCCATATATAGCCTCTATAGACTATAAAACTCATGAAACAACAGTTAACATATATTGCATACCCTGTCCCCAACTTTATAAGTGCTGATAAAGAAGTATGTGTAGGAAGTAGACATTGAGTAAAGTTTGATGTACAACACATATATTAAAAGTAGCAGATGCAAAAAGAGGATAACCAAACAAAGAAATAGGAAGATGGGGAAGCTAAGCTCAGAACAAACAGGCGCAAATAAACAGTGCTTCAGCTAGCCTCACAAGCAAGTTAGTCTCAATACAATAACATGAGTAATTCAGTTTTTTAATAAAGTCATTCACTTTAACCAAAAATAACCACTTGGAGGCAGAGAATAGCTACAGACTAAAAGAGACAGAACCTCTTTGTAGACACAGGCAACCTGGAAGCAAGAACCCTTCCGGATGGGATAGGAACAAGTAACCAGGAACACTGTAATATAAAATCAGACCTATACATCTCTTTGATAATCAGATATCTAATGTATGCAGTCCAACAAAGAGCTCATAGTAATCCAGGGTCCACATTATTTGGCATATGGAAACTGACCTGATAGTGGTGATAAGAGGAATCTTCGAGGATATACAGCTGCTGTCAAAGATTCTGAAAAATAAGCAGCAAGAATAAAGAAGCACAGTCTTTTTATTGTTTCTTGAGATTTTTCTGAAATATTATCAGGGTATTTAACAAGCTTTTCATTGGTTCATGATATAAAATGGTTGTTGTTTTAAAATATATAGGATCAGGCTCTAACAAACCTCAGCTAGCTAATACATTTATAAAAGTGACAAAGAATATCGTAAAATTCAGTGCTTAGAGTTTAGTGTGGAAACTATTTAAACACTATTATTCCAAACTTAAATGTACATTCTACAGTGATAATCCAGACTCTATAATCAGATCCACAGTAATATAGGTCATAGATAATGGAGGTCATCTGAAAATGTACAAATAACCTAGAAGTGCAGGCATGTATCAAGAGCAATTTCCCCATGAGACTTATCAGTTGAGGGTGTCATATTGTCACTTCCAGGCTCTGGCAAGACTAACTGGCCAGTAACTAAGGGGAGGGACTCGTGGGGCAACTGGAGGAGCTCGGAAGCCTCCACGAGGCACCCTGGCAGAAAGTAGCCACGTCATCACCACCTCCCCCTTCTCCTTGTGCCTAGCTATCCCACTGCCATTTCTTGGCACTAGAACTTAGTAACTAATTAGATTACCAGAAAGCCAAATCACAAGAGTAAAGTCTGCAGCGCAAATGAACAGGAATGGGACAAGTAAGTGGCCCTTAAGACAAAGAAAATGGCATGGGTGGAAAGGGGACACTGGGCTGACACTGCCCAGTGATTAAATCTCTTAATGTACTGCCTGGTAATGCTCACAGACTTTACTAGGAATTAACAGGGCTCCTGTTACACACTATAAACCACGTTCTTCCCAATATATGGGTCTAAACAGAAATTAGGTGATTTTCTAGAGCCCAGCCCACAGTATACATTCAACAGACACTTGTTGAGTGAATAATGAACACATTCCAAATTCACTTAAGGTAAAAGTCTCATAAATTGAGAATTGCTTGCAATGTTAAGCAAAATTGGGGATTTTAGAAGAGAACAAAATTATGTCCTTCATGGTTGCATTAACATTCTCCACATTTTTAAAAATTGGCATTATTTTCTATTTTTGTTCAACTGGCTTATATTACATTTTAAAATCCATTTTTAGGTAGTAGCTACTATAGAAAGGTACCAAAGCTAAAACCATAAAATTTTATCCAATAGTTTGTACAGAAACCCAGTTTTTGATATCTCTTCTGCCTGCCCATGGCCAAGGGCTCTGCAACTTCAGTTCAGCACTTGACTTGTGGGAGGGATCCCACTATCCCCAGAGTAAGAGCTTCTTCCTATGCTAAAATTATCTTCTATCCAAGATATCACACAGAAAAGCTTCCCTGGTAGCTCAGTTGGTAGAGAATCCGCCTGCAATGCGGGAGACCTGGGTTCGATCCCTGGGTTGGGAAGACCCCCCGAAAGGCTACCCACTCCAATGTTGTGGCCTGGAGAACCCCATGGGCAGAGGAGCCTGACAGGTTACAACCCGTGGGGTCACAGAGCTGGACCCGACTGAGTGCCTGTCACACAAGCTATCACAAGCCTGATTTCATTAGATTTCAGTGCTAAAAGGGAACCTTGACACCATTCCCCAGGCTAGTTACAGACCTTCCTTGCCAATCTCAAGGAAATTTACAGATTCCAAAACTGCTGAAATGCCATTAAGTACAGGTCGTTGATCTTTGGGAACCTAGATATGGCTACAAAACAATTAACACTAGTGATGTAAATCAGGAGTAATTAATAAACAAAGCTACTGGTTAACTAAGTAATTACAGACTCTTAACGACGTATTTCTGTCTTCCCAATTTACCTCAGCTTACAGTCAGCACATGTGGTTACTACTCTGTTACCAGTAAGAGGTGAAAAATAGGCTGAAGCGATGCTCTTTGTGTGTTCAGTTAAAGAAATCAGAGGCTGGTTTCTACTGGGATTCAGGCATCTTGCATCATAAATATGAATATCCCTGTAACAGGAGGAATAATTCTCAGTGTTATCACAGTACACGGAGTAAGCCTCTACAACAGCACAGAACATTAATTAGACACTCAAATACACACTACATTGAAGAACAGTTAAGACAGGCCGCTCTAATCTTCGGTATTAATTTTAAAACATGGGTATAGATTAAAAATTATTAGAAAAATTCCAAAATTATAGCATATATATGTAACCAGGTGGGTATAGAGACAAGATTCTAGCTGGTTTTCTCATCTCTTCAAGAAATAAGTTAACACAGACTAAGAAATTGTAGGTCCCATTTAACTTGTATTTTTTACATATTTTCTTCTCAAAAGACTGAAGTAAATGCACAAGACCAAGGAAAACAAAAATGTATATTTGTTTCAGTATTTTCACTATGTATTAAATCTCATTTTAAATAATCACAAAAAAACTCAAAAAAATACCCTCAAATTAGCATAGACAGGAAAATTATTTGGTCTGTGGGTAACACAAAAAAGTCTTTTGTCAATCAAACTAAAACATTATTCCTAATGTTAAAAGATCTATATCATAAAATTTTATGAAGAACATACCTTAATCCCGCAGTGATAAAATACTGTCTATGCACTGGGTGCACATGAACAGTTCTTATTTTGCTCAAAGAAGATTTGATAAGTTTCTCACAAGAAGTTCCAGGAGTTCGCCTATCCACTAGTGACATACGTCCATCCCAGTGACCTACTATTAAAGTGGAGGCATCTTCTGTCAAGAAGTCAAAGGAGGAAAAGCTTCTTCTTTCATCTCTATATACCTAAGGATATAAGGAACAATCAACTTAAGTAACAATCCTCTTTTAAAAAAAGCCAATGCATGGATTCTTTGTTAAAAAAGCAACAAAACACTTTATCCCAAATATCTCATTTATCCTCCCAACATCCCCACAGGAAGCACAGGACAAAATGGTCATCCTCTTTGGCAGAAATGGAATCAAAGGCACTGATCAACTCTAAGACTTGCCTGCAATCAAACAGCCCATCCACCCATGTTGGGGCTACATCCCAAATCTCTTAAATCCAATAAAACTCAGTTGCAGATCTACCCTGAAACTTACTAGGAAATGGATTGAATTTGATTTCTACTCAATTGAAGTACAAATTGAAACTCAAAAGATAAATGCACCCCAACGTTCACAACAGCACTATTTACAACAGCCAAGACATGGAAGCAACCTAAATGGTGCATCCACAGTGGAGTGGATAAAGAACATGTGGTACATATATACAATGGAATATTCAGTTTCAGTGAAAGTCGCTCAGTCATGTCTGACTCTCTGTGACCCCATGGGCTATACAGTCCATGAAATTCTCCAGGCCAGAATACTGGAGTGGGTAGCCATTCCCTTATCCAGGGGTTCTTCCCAACCCAGGGATCGAACCTAGGTCTCCTGCACTGCAGGCAGTCTTTACCATCTAGGCCACCAGAACACCCTGATGGAATATTAGTCTGCCACAAGAAAGAACAAACCAATGCTACTTGCAGCAACATGGATGGACCTAGAGATTGCCATTCTGAGTGAAGTGAATCAGATACAGACAAATATCATATATTGCTTACATGTGGAACCTAAAAAATGGGTACAAATGAACTTTTTTACAAAACAGAAGTAGAGTCATGAATGTAGAAAATAAACTTGTGTTTATCAGGAGATGGAAGAGATGGATAAACTGGGACTGACATGTACACACTAATATATATAAAATAGATAACTATAAGAACCTGCTATATAGCACAGAGAACTGTACTCAATACTCTATAAAGGTCTATATGGGAAAAGAATCTAAAAAAAAAAAGAGTGGATAATATGTATATGTGTAACTGATTCACTGTGCTATACACCTGAAAAATAACACTGTAAATCCACTATGCTCCAATAAAAATTTTTTAAAAAATTATATGGGCAGTGGTAACATCAGTGGTTTCCAGGGGCTTTGGGAAAGAGGAGAGGACTAACTGCAGAGGATCATGAGGTAATTTTTCAGGTGATGGAAATTTTCTGTATCTTGACTGCAGTGGTGGTTACATTAGTTTGCCAAAATTCATAAAACTGCACGCCTAAAATAGGTAAGTTTTACAGTATGTATTGTATACCTCAATAAACCTGACGTTTAAAAAAATAAGTTGAGAACTTTGACAACTCAATACTAAAAACACAGATAACCCAATTAAAAACAGGCAAAAGATCCAAATAGACATTTCTTTAAATAATTACAGTAATTACTAATAAGCAAATCTCCATCGTGAGCAGCAGCCTTGTCGTGGTGAAGGGGCTTGTTTAACTCAATGAAGCTGTGAGTCATGCTGTACGGGGCCACCCCAGACAGACAGGTCACACTGGAGAGTTCTGACAAAACATGGTCCACTGGAGAAGGAAATGGCAACCCACTCCAGTACTCTTGTCAGGAGAACCTCATGAATAGTAATAAAGGCAAAAAAATAGAACACCGGAAGACGGACACCACCCCCCTCCAAATCAGAAAGGGTCCAACATGCTATGAGGGAAGAGCAGAGAGCAATTACTAACAGCTCCAAAAAGAATGAAGTGGCTGGGCCAAAGCAGAAACGATGCTCAGTTTTGGATGTGTTTGGTGGTGAAAGTAAAGTCCAACGTTGCAAAGAACAGTACTGCATAGGAACCTGGAATGCTAGGTAATGAATCAAGGTAAATTGGACACACTAAAGCAGGAGATGGCAAGATTGATCTACAGATCGAGAAGCCCCAAAATGATGTTATTTACCCTTGACACCATTTTACTAGACCAACAAAGCTCAACCACAAACCAGGAGCCTAAAGCTTTAACTACTGACACCTCTGCCTCAACTTCAAGGCATCTAACAGCTGTCTATTGAAGGAATCAAGTCTGCACGTGGGTTTGGTTTGGCTCACTGTTTTTTTTTTTCCCCTTCTTAATTTCTTTTTACAGTTTTACTGAGATGTAGTATTTCCTATACCATAAACTTCACTCTCACCATGTTCTTTAAACTATGACTTAGTTCACAACACTGATATACTAGAATTTTTTTTTTTTTTTTTTAAATCTTAGGATAGCACTGGGAAGACCCAGAGGGATCGGGTGGAAAGGGAGGTGGGAGGGGGGACCGGGATGGGGAATACATGTAAATCCATGGCTAATTCATCTCAATGTATGACAAAAACCACTGCAATGATGTAAAGTAATTAGCCTCCAACTAATAAAAATAAATGAAAAAATAAAAAAAATTTAAAAAATTAAAAATAAAAATAAATAAATAAATTAACCCCATAAGAAATAAAATAAATAAATAAATAAATAAATAAATCTTAGGATAACTTAGGAGTCAGTGAACTAAAATGGACAGGAATGGGCAAATTTAATCCAGATGACCATTGTACCTACTACTGTGGGCAAGAATTCCTTACAAGAAAAGGAGTAGTCCTCATAATCAACAAGAGTCTGAAATGCAGTACTTGGGTACGATCTCAAAAATGAAAGAATAATCTTGGTTCATTTCCAAGGCAAGCCATTCAGCATCACAATAATCCAAGTCTATGCCCCAACCACTTATGTCAAAGAAGCTAAACAGTTCTATGAAAACCTACAAGAACTTGTAGATTTGACACCCCCCAAAAAAAAGTCCTTTTCATCATAGAGGACTGGAATGCAAAAGTAGGAAGTCAAGAGATACCTGGAGTAACAGGATAGTTTGGTCTTCGAGTGCAAAATGAAGCAGTGCAAGACTAATAGTTTTGCCAAGAGAATGCACTGATCACAGCAAACACCCTCTTCCCACAACATAAGAGACCACTCTACACATGGACGTCACCAGATAGTCAATGTTGAAATCAGACTGATTATATTTTTTGCAGATAAAGATAGAGAAACTCTATATAGTCAGCAAAAACAAGACCTGGAACTAACTGTGGCTCAGATCATCAGTTCCTTATAGCAAAATTCATACTTAACTTGAAGAAAGTAGGGAAAACCACTAGACCATTCAGGTGTGACCTAAATAAATCCCGTATGATGATACAGGGGAAGTGAAGAATGGATTCAAGGTATTCCATCTGGCAGACAGAGTGCCATAGTCCTTCAAACTATGGACAGAGGTTTGTAACACTGTACAGGAGGCACTGACCAAAACCATCCAGAAGAAAAAGAAATGCAAAAAGGCAAAATCGTTGTCTGAGGCGGCTTTACATACAGCTGAGGAAAGAAGAGAAGTGAAAAGTAAGGGAGAAAGGGAAAGATATACCCAACTGAATGCAGAGTTCCAGAGAACAACAAGGAGAGATAAAAAGGCCTTTTAAAATGAACAATGCAAAAAAGTAGAGGAAATCAACAGAATGGGAAAGACTAAAGATCTCTTCAAGAAAACTGAAGATATCAAAGGAACATTTCATTCAAGGATGGGCACAATAAAGGACAGAAGCAATATGGACCTAATGGAAGCAGAAGAGATTAAGAAGAGGTGATAAGAATACACAGAAGAACTATACAAAAAAAATGTTTTACTGACCCACGTAGCCAAAATGGTACAGTTACTCACTTAGAGCCAGACACCCTAGTATGTGAAGTCAAGCGGGCCTTAGGAAGCATTACTTACAAACAAGCTAGTGGAGGTGATGGAATTCCAGCTGAGCTATTTAAAATCCAAATGATGCTATTAAAGTGATGCACTCAATATGTCAGCAAATTTGGAAAATATTGTCAGCAGTGACCACAGGACTGGAAAAGGTTAGTTTTCATTCCAATCCCAAAGAAGGGCAATGAGAAAGAATGTTCAGACTAATGTAAAACTGCACTCATTTCACATACTAGTAAATTTATACTCAAAATCCTTCAAGCTAGGCTTCGGCAGTATATGAATAGATAACTTTCTGATGTACAAGCAGGGTTTAGAAAGGGCAGAGGAACCAGAGATCAAATTGCCAACATTCACTGGATCATAGAGAAAGCAAGGGAATTCCAGAAAAACAACTACTTCTGTTTCACTGACTACACTAAAGTCTCTGTTTGGATCACAACAAACTATGGAAAATTCTTTTTTTTTTTCATTTATTCATATTAGTTGGAGGCTAATTACTTTTCAATATTGTAGTGGTTTTTGCCATACATTGATATAAGAGATGGTTTCTCTCCTGAGAAACCTGTATGCGGGTCAAGAAGCAACAGTAAGAACCAGTAAGAACAGTAAGAACCAGACATGGAACAACCTCAGATATGCAGATAATATCACTCTAATGGCAGAAAGTAAAAAGGAACTAAAGAGCCTCTTGATGAGGCTGAAAGAGGAGAGTGGAAAAAGCTGGCCTGAAACCCAACATTCAAAACTCTAAGATCATGGCATCCAGTCCTATCACTTCATGGCAAGGAGAAGGGGAAAAGGTGGGAAATAGTGACAGATTTTATTTACTTGGCCCCCAAAATCACTGTAGACGATGACAGTGGCCATGAATTTAAATGACGCTTGCTCCTTGTAGGAAAGCTATGACAAACCTAGACAGCACATTAAAAAGCAGAGAGACATCACTTTGCCGACAAGATCTGTATAGTCAAAGATATGGTTTTTCCAGTAATCATGTACAAATGTGAGAGCTGGACCATAAAGAAGGCTGAGTACTGAAGAACTGATGCTTTCAAATTGTGGTACTGGAGAAGACTTTTGGGAATCCCTTAGACTACAAGGAGATCAAACCAGTCCATCCTAAAGGAAATCAACCCTGTATATATTCATTGGAAGGACTAATGCTGAAGCTCCAGTACTTTGGCCACCTGATGTGAAGAATGGACTCACTGGAAAAGACCCTGATGCTAGGAAAGATCAAAGGCAGGAGGAGAAGGGGACAACAGAGGATGAGATGGTTGGATGGCATCACTGACTTGATGGACATGAGTTTGAGTAAGTTCCAGGAGTTGGTGATGGACAGGGAAGCCTGGCGTGCTGCAGTCCATGGGGTCACAAAGAGTTGGACACAACCGAGCAACTGAATTGAACTATTACTCACTTAATACCATTGTATCGTGATTGATCAACAGAAAAATAATAGAATTCTCTATCACAAAGGCTACCATTTAATAGAAAAACCTATAATCACATTTTAAAATCTAGATGCATATCAGAATTACAAATGCCTAAGTATTGCTTTTTTGTCCAAAGCTCCAGATATGTTTCTAATGAGCAGCCATGTTTAAATCCAACTGGACTATATGATGATCTTTCACTTTCATCTAGTTTGTTTCACTTTTTCTATTTCATACTCAGTGCTCCATTTCATTCAGTTTAGGTTTTCCAATTTCTCCACCGTTTTTTCTTTTGTTCTCTCTCAAGCCTTTATCAAGCATAGCACAAAAACTTTTGTATACATATATATATGTTATATGTATTTTAGAAAACTTATGAATTTTCACCTAAGTAAAAAATTTATGACATTTTGATTCCACTTGTTTGACTTAGTATGAAGAGAATGCTAGATTTCTAATTTAAAAAAAATAGATGCAACAAGTAACAAAGGTTTACTGTATAGCACAGGGACCTATAATCAATATTTTTTAATAACCTCTAATGGAAAATAATCTGAAAAATAATATGTATATATGTATAACTGAATCACCTTGCTGTGCACCTGAGACACTGTAAGTCAACTATGCTTCAATAAATATATGTATTAAGAGAAACTGCTATAAGTAATTATGAATAATCTGTACACAGAACATTAGAATAATGACAAAGACATCAGAATGTGTTAATTTTGAGTACCGGTTTACATAAAAAAATTAAGGCATACATAAAATTAGATCATTAGTATTTATGATGATAAATCATAACAGTGGTGATACTGTGTTTTCTTCACTGTTTATCACATACAAAATTGCCCTAATACTGAGGATGTCTAAAAACCTCAAAAGTTCCATTCAAAATAAGTTAAAGGGTGAAAACCTACATCTAAACCATGCTAAACTTCACAAAGATTAAAATTCACATTGAAAAAGGATTTAATTTATAAGAATTCTCTTAACGAGGTAAGCAAATGTGAAAGCTCACTTGAAATGACATGTTTGTTGTAAGCATTAAGTAGTAGATATTTAAGTAGGAGACCAAATGTAATCACTGGGATCAAATATTGTGAGGATTCCTCAGGCCTTTGGAAGCTTCTGGCCCACCCAACCAGAGGTCAAATGGATTAGAAAACCTTCAAGGGGTAAAGTCTGTTTATCTTGGTAGAGTATCTCTAGGCGGATGGATAGTCACAAGTATGAGCCTAACATCTTTCAACTTTTCTTAAACAGACTTCAACTTAATCTGACCTCATAGGTCCAGGAAAAGACCTTATCCTCAAGAGGTGGTTATGAATAAACCTGGCCTAAGATGTTCTGAATGAAATCGCCTGGGTGTCCATTTTTGGCCAGAGTACAATTTTATCACATCCAATTGCAGCATTTTATTCTAACTTCACCAGACAAAAATAACTGAGCTAATCTATTAACAGATATATATATGGCATGTAAGACATGATAAATCTTAGATAGAAGACAAAAAAACAAATTTTATAGTTTCTGTGTTACATTACTGGCCATATGTTTTACATATAATGTGCTATAGTACTGTTTGTTATGTGATGAATTTCTCTATAGTCTTTTCTGTCACATCTAAGACTCAGCCTCACAAAATTCATACCTGCAAAGGCTAGAAATAGTAAACAAAAATATAATAACATTCTCATATTTTTCCTGAATAAAACATAAGTTTTAAGCCTTACAGAAGAATAGGTTATTGTCTTTCAAATATTTTTGCAAAAATAAAAAATAAGAGAAAAAACCTATTCTGTGCCAGGCTCTGTTTTAAGTGCATTAACTCACTTCATCCTTGTGACAATCCTGTAAGGTAAATAGTATTACTGTTTCATTTCAAAACTAAGAAAGTTGAGACACAAAGAGGTAAAGGCACTTGCCAAGGTCAAACAAAGTACCAGACGGGATATGGATTTAGGCAGTATAGTTCTAAAGTCCCTGTTCCATACCAGCTCATCCAGTCTGATGGTATAATAATCATTCACATGGAATTTCATAAAGAATCTAGAATATCATCTAAGGTCAATATGTAAACATATTAACATTTACCTCTTCAAAAACAGCCCTGGAAAAATCCCCACAGCGTAATGTGCCATCATAGCTCAGTGACAGAAGGTGAGCTGGATTGGCAGGTGAGAAGTAAAGACAGCTAACCGGTTGACTGTGGGGCTGAAAAAGATAAACTCCATCCTCTTTAGGTTGGTGAGTCTAAAAGAGAGTTAGGGGTGGGGAGAGAGACAAAAACTGGTGAGAAATAGTAATATATTCCATGTCATTAAGTTGTTAAAATGTTTATGTCTGTATTATATTCAGTCTTTTCTCAGTCTATTATTATACCCAACCTCCTGATTAGAAAGTCAGAACTAGAAACTTTATACTCTAAGTTATTTTCCTAATTTTCAACCCAACAGAATTGTCTCATTTATGTTAATAGTTTCCAGTTTTTTGCAACTAGACAAGTAGTTTTTCATAATGCAGAGGGGAAATAATTACTGCTTATTCTGACTTAATTTCATGAAATCCTCAGGAAATGTGAGATTTACTTTTTATTTCACACACAGGATAATTCCTTCCTACTAAAATACATCAATGTCACTTATACTTTGCTTGCTAAGTATGCTTCTATATGAGTAAATCATCCTGCGCACAATTTTCGTAAGGTGTTTGGTTCTGGCACAAAATGATAGTTTTTTAAATATTTTATCCCCTAAATACTCTGGCCACCTGATGCAAAGAGCTGGCTCATTAGAAAAGACCCTGATGTTGGGAAAGATGGAGGGCAAGAGGAGAAGGGGGCAGCAGAGGATGAGATGGTTAGATAGCATCACTGACTCAATGGACGTGAGTTTGAGCAAACTCCAGGAGGTAGTGAAGGACAGGGATGCCTGGCATGCTGCAGTCCATAGAATCACAAACAGTCAGACACAACTTAGCAACTGAAGGCAAAAAAAAAAACAAATCCCCTAAATACCCCATGAAAAATGCATGTATTTGAATTTCTATAGTAATAGTACTGCTTCTAAAGATTATCCTTTCACTACTGGATTATCAACTCTGAAATCATCATGTTTTGAATTTCCATGTTATATTCCTATACCACATGTTATATCATGAACCAACAACTATCATCTCCAAATCTAGCTTAGTCTGCTCTGAAATACTCAAGCACTGGTTTTGTCTTTTTTAAGTTTTTAAAGAGAAAAAAATTTTAAAGGAAAGAAAGAAAAAATCTTTTTTAAAAAAGGAAAAAATTACAATAACACAAACTCCTCCTCCTACCCAGAGTTAACCACTGTTAACACTCTGGCATATTGTCCATAGCATATATTTTTTAGAAAAACAATACTCTCCAGACAAAAATTCTGAAAAATCATTCAAAACCCAAAATTGACCAAAATTATCACTGAAATACTAAGCAATCATTATAGATGTCTTTACATGTAGTTACTTATATGGATAGGATAGAGAAGAAATTGGGGGGGGGGAGGCCATTTTTAATAGTATTAAATTTAACTATACTTTAAAATAATAAAAGAAAAGCAAGCTGAAGGAATTTTTGAATTTCGAGTTATTTCTTTTTTTTTTTTTGAGTTATTTCTTTACAAGAGTTATCTAAGAAGGAAAAAGTATAAAGCATAAAGCACTTACAGTCATTAAGCTTTATTTTTAAATTTAACTATGTATGTCTCAATTTCAGATTTCTATTGATTGAGGACACTATTTCCCCCCGCCCAATCTCCCCTTTTTCTATCTCTAGATTTATTTTTAATTTTTCCAGGTTAACAACATTCATATCTAGTTCTGTAATCATAATTCATATTGCTATTTAATATTAGTTCTGCATTTAAATGGATTTAATACTCATTATTGATTCTTCTGTCAAGCTTCTTCACTCCTGAATTCTTAATTATGACTTACTTTTAACTGGCTGAGATTTTCTATCAAGCAGTTTTTCCAGATAAACTCACTAGAGTTTTTTCACGTGTGAAAATACCTACCTGCTGCCTTTACATTAGAATAACATCCTGGGCTACCTATGTATTCCAGGACACACTTCCTTCCCTCAGAACTTTGTAGACATTACACGAAATGTTGTAGAAAACTGAGGCTAGTCTGACTTCTCCCCCTGAATATAATTTGTTTTTCCTACCTGAAGAATTCTTTGTCCTTTAAGCTCCAAAGTTTCTGAGAACGTGGCATACATTTTCAAATGTGCCAATTCAATTCTGACTTTTCTCTTAAAACTTTTCTCATCTGTGTTTAAGATAACCTCAAATCTTTCCTTTACTATCAGTAATTTTATTTTCAGCAATGTCTACTATTTTGTTCCTTCTAATCTAATAGTTTTACTGATTTTCTATTTTCTTAGTTTTGCTGGCTCCTTCATTCCATTGTTTGTTATCTTATCTTTGAGCCTTATTTTACCAAAATTAATGCTGTAATTAACTTACTCCAGAGCATCACTGTCCAAAAGAACTTTCTGAGATGACAAAAATAATACATGTATGCATTGTCCAATATGGTATCCACTAGTCATGTGTGGCTATTAAGCACTTGAAATGTGGCTGGTATAAGTGAACAACTGAATTTTCTATTTTAATTACTTTAAAAATAAACACAGGTATCCTCGCTATTCAAAAGTTTGCTTTTTGCTTTATACCACTTCACTCTTACAAAACACCTGTATTAATACCTATTTTTGCTAACTGAAGGGAATCCAAGAGGATTTTCATTTTTATGAAAAAAGGTAAAAAATGAAAATAGCATTCAGCATTTGTTTTGCAGGAAGCTGTTACAGAGGCAGCGCACCCCAAGCAGCAAGGGGCACCACCAAGCTCTGACCCAGGGAACTTACACTCAGTATCTCAGCATGAAGTCGCTCTTAGTTCTGAACTGTGACTGACAGCATCTGTACTTTATCTTGATTTATTCTGTGCATTTATTAGCAAGACACCTTAAGGTAATTGTCTCTTTCATTATACCATTTGAGTTTACAAACCGTTTCATAGTAATACTCTACTTTTGGATGAGGAGGGAAACCCGTAGTCCAAATTTCATTTCAGTCCAAAAATAACAAGTGTGCATCTAATGACTTCAAACTGAAATGAGTCCAGGACCAGTTTTGTTTGAGCCTAGAAATGACTGTCTGTACACACTGGATTGGAATATGAAAACTGAAAGTACAAGCACCAATAAAGACTATTACAGTAATCCCAAAAAAAGAAAATGTAGCCCTCACTAATGTGGTGTTAGCCAGGATAGGAAGGCGGGGGGGGGGGGGGGGGGGGGCAAAACCATTAAATGATTTTACTAGACATAAGGAATGAAGGGACAACCTAACTATTCCATGGCTTCCTCTTGCTTTTAGGATAAAAAGTGAAATTCTCAACAAAATTTATGAAGACATACATCTGACCTCTTCCCACCTCTGTATCCCGCCGCGACTCCACTCATCCCTTCCATCCATGCCTTTCTTGTCCATGCTCCAGCCACACAGGCATGTTTCAGGTCCTTGAATGTATCAAGCAGGCACCCTACTGCCGCAGGTCCTTGACATTCTGTTCCTCGTGCCTGAAATGCTCTTCTCCCTTTGTTTGCTTGGTTTATTCCTACTTAGCTTTCAAATCTCAACTCAATTCTCACTTCTTCATGGAAGCCTTCCCTGATGCTCCAAATTAGGCCAGTCTACCTGCTACGGGAAAATATCACTTCCTTCACTCCGTTAAATCACTGTACATAATTCACTCCACTTATCAAACATACAATTACTTCATTCATGTTGCTTTTGCCACTAAATTCCAAACCCTATGAGAACATGGACAGCCTTTCCTCACAAATATGGCTGGGGTATCATTAGAAGAGTACTTAACGCAAAACACTCAGTAAGTGTGGAATGAATGAATGAGTGCATGAGTGACCAAATGACAACGCAACTTTTGACCCAGGGTGAGACTAGGAATCTGACAAAAAGTTAAGTGGAAAACTGAGGGACTACCAAGGCAATTCAGTGCAGTAAAGGAGTCTTTCCACAAACAGTGCTGGGACACTGGATATACACAGATAAAAAGATGAACTGGGGCCCTAACTTCAGAGCATATGCAAAAACAACTCAAAGATAATAATAACTCAAAGTGGATCAGTGAACTAAATGTGAAAGCTTAAACTATAAAAATATTTAGAAAAATACATAGGAGAAAAACTTCCTGACTTTGGGCTACACGGAAGATTTCTTAGATGACACCAAAAACACAATCAATTAAAAATTTGATGAATTGGACCTCATCAAAACTCAAAACTTTTGCACTTCAGTAGCATTAAGAAAATGAAAAGACAAGGAGAAAAATTTGTAAATCAAGTATCTGATAAGGATGCACATCTAGAGTATACAAAGAACTCTTATAACTCAACAAGAAAATGAACAATCCAATAAAAAAAACTGACAAAAGACTTGAATAGACATTTCACCAAAGACACCCAAATGGCAGGATAAGAGCTTCAACATCATTATTCATTAGACAAATGCAAATCAAAACCACAGGGAGATAAAACTTCACTAGGAAGATAACACGCACTTGAAAGGCTATAATCAGAAAGACAGACAATAATAAATGTTGGTAAGCATGGAGGAAAACTGGAACCTTTGTACATTGCTGGTGGGAATAGAAGATGGTGCAAACCCTTTGGAAAGAAGTTTGGCAGTTCCTCAAATGTTAACCAGTTACCATATGACCTAGCAATTCTATTCCCAGGTACCCACTCAAAAGAAATAAAACACATTGCCACACAAAAATACGTACACAAATATTTAAAATCAAATTATTCAGAACAGCCAGGTAGTGGAAACAACCCAAATGTCTACCAAGTGATAAATGCATAAACAAAATGTTGTATAATCAACAAGGAAATACAATTCAACAATAAAAGACAGAAGTGCTGATAGATTAGCATCAACTAGCATGTTATAGTAACACAGATACACCTGAAAACCATACTAAAAGAAAAACACCAACATAAAAGACCAGGTATTCTATGATTCTATTTATATGAAATATCTAAAAAGTGCAAATTTGTAGAGATTTGCCTGGGGATAAGGGTAGAAACAGGGATTAAATGTAAATAGCCATGAGGAATCTTACAGGAATGATGAAAATGTTCTAAAACTGAATTGTGATGATGGTTACACAACTCAATAAACTTACTAAAAATAATTAAATTGTACATCTTAAATATGTGGATTTTATAAAATGTGAATTATACCTCAACAAAACTAATTTAAAAAACAAAAACTAGGGGAGGACGCCCATGGCTGTCCAGTGGCTAAGATGCCCCACGCCCTGTGCAGGGGGCTCGGGTTTGTTCCCTGGTCAGGAAACCAGATTTCACATGCCAAAACTAAGAGTTCACATGTTTCAACTAAAGATCCCACATTCCACAGCTAAGATCAAAGAACCCATGTACCACAACTAAGACTCAGTGCAGTTAAATAATAAAAATAAATATTAAAAAAAAAAACTAAGGAAGTTGGGGAGTGAGAACAGGATAGCTAAGACACTGACTTTAGACTTGCTCAGTCTGTTGAGATAACCAGGTGTCCTGAAAAACTAGAAAGTTGATTAAAACATTGCACTGCAGACATCCAGTAAAAAAGATGTTTGGAGTCATCAGAAAAGACACGACAAATGGACAGTTCTACATGTCTTCAACATATCATCAACACCCACCCTGAAAAGGTACTCACTTGACTGTGCTAATTCTCTATTTTTCCTTTTCTAAGTTCTTCAACAAATAGCCTATCCACTGTTTTCATTTCCTCTTCTACTTCATATTTAAAAATTTTTGTTTTATTTATTTTTGGCTGCACTGGGTCTTCATTGCTGCATGTGGGTTTCTCTAGTGCAGTGAGTGGGGGATACTCTTGATTGGGATGCTCAAGATTCTTATCACGGTGGCTTCTCTTGTTGCAGAGCACAGGCTCTAGGCACCCAGGCTTCAGTAGTTCTGGCTCACAGCCTTAGTTGTTTCACAGAATGTGGAATCTTCCTGGAATAGGGATCGAACCTGTGTTCCCTACATTGGCACGCAGATTCTTATCCACTGCACCACCTGGGAAGTCCCCTACCCCGTACTTTTTTAATCTCCTAAAAGTCTCTGTTCCTTCCTTACCTTATTGTTGAAGCTATTCTCTCAACTCACTAATCATACCCTATGTCAAAACTAACAGCCCTTTTTTCTGTTCCCATTCGTTTTGGTGGTGATTTAGTCACTAAGTCATGTCCAACTCTTGCAACTCCATGGACTATAGCCCTCCAGGCTCCTCTGTCCCTGGGACTCTCCAGGCAAGAATACTGGAGTGGGTTGCCATTTCCTTCTCCAGGGGATCTTTCCAACCCAGGAATCAAACCCGGGTCTCCTGCATTGCAGGTGGATTCTTTACCAACTGATCTACAAGGGAAGCCACCCATTCTTAACTCCTCTGAAAAAAAGCCCAGTCAGACTCCCATGCTTGAAATTCATCTCTTAGCTTATACAACCTTATACTACTTCTGGTCCTCTTCCCACTTCCCTGCTTCTGTTTTCTTTACCAAATCCTTTCACCTCCTAACCCTACTAACATCTTATCAAAATAAGCAAGAACCTATGCACTCAAAATAAAAGAGAACTTGGTTTTTATTTCTTCTCTTCTCACAAAATTCATTTTATTTATTAACCCCAACCCTCGACAAGTCACAGTGGCTTCTCCATCTCCATTAACTGTCCTTAAGGCATTTTTCATGTCTTTGTTCTACTTCCCCAATTAGAAAATAAACTTCAGGGCTTCCCTGGTGGCTCAGTGGTGAAGGATCTGCCTGACAATGCAGGAGACATGGGTTCGATCTCTGATCCGGGAAGATCCCATATGCTGCGGAGCGACTAAGCCGGTGTACCACAGCTACTGAGCCTGTGCTCCAGAGCCCAGGAGCCACAGAGACTCTGCAACAAGACACGCCACCGCAACAGGAAGCCTGAGCTTCACAACTACAAAGTAGGCCCTGCTCACCGAGACTGAAGAAACGTCCCAACAGCAAGGAAAACCCCAAAAAGCCAGAAATAAATAAATAAATAAATTCAGAGAACAGTAACTTGGCTTTCTTCAATTCTGTAACCACTAAAAAGCAATCAATGCATTATTATATATGCAATGAATGATATTTAATATCAGTTTCTGACTCATCAAAAAACAACTAGAATCATCCTAAGAAGATCCATGGGAAGATATTTTGATCCAGTTTGAAAATTATATTTTAAACAAAATTAGAAAACTAAGAACTTGCTGTGATATTTTCATATATACATTTAAAGCTGTAACAGAGTTTCCTGGCAGGCATTTATGCCCAGATGACTAATGATATTCAAGCTAAAAATGTCAGAAGTTCTATAAAGTAAATTTAAATTCCTCTATGTTTCTAAAATTTGGAATCACAAAGCAATAAATCTCAAGTAACATCTAGAAACACATGGCTCTAGGCTGTTCTTTCGCAGACTATTTCCTTTAGTCGAATTTCAGTATCTTCAAAAAAATAATAACTTACCAAATCCCAAAGTCCAACTTGCCCATATTTGGCCCCAGCTGCCACCAAAGTCCTCATTTCTGATGGGTGGATGGCCATTGAGGTAATTGAGCCTCTGGTAACTTTACAGACAGTATCTTCACTAATGACCATGCCATTTAAATTGACTTTGTAGCTGAGAACATTAAAAAGTTAAACTTTAGAAGTAAAACCAAACTCAATGGTCAAAACAATGAAAGGTGATTTTAAAAATAAAAGTCACAATAAATGTGGGAAAATATTCAATTTCCTGGCAATCAAGGAAAGCAAATTAAACAACAGGGTGCTATTTTTCACTCATAAAAGTTAGCAGGCTATAGTTAAACATTCATATATACTAACAGCAGAGTAAATTCATATAAGATTTTCAGAAATTAAAAAAAAAAAGATTTTCGAAAACAATTTGGCATGTCCTAAAGGGGTACCCAGATAACCACAATGCTATGACCACTTACCTAGAGCCAGACATCCTGGAATATGAAGTGAAGTGGGCCTTAGGAAGCATCATTACAAAGCTAGTGGAGGTGATCAAATTCCAGTTGAGCTATTTCAAATCCTAAAGGATGATGCTGTGAAAGTGCTGCACTCAATATGCCAGCAAATTTGGAAAACTCAGCAGTGGCCACAAGACTGGAAAAGATCAGTTTTCATTCCAATCCCAAAGAAAGGCAATGCCAAAGAAAGCTCAAACTACTGCACAATTGCACTCATCTCACACACTAGTAAAGTAATGCTCAAATTTCTCCAAGCCAGGCTTCAGCAATATGTGAACCGTAAACTTCCAGACATTCAAGCTGATTTTAGAAAAGGCAGAGGAACCAGAGATCAAACTGCCACCATCCTGCTGGATCACTGAGAAAGCAAGAGAGTTCCAGAAAAACATCTATTTCTGCTTTATTGACTATGCCAAAGCCTTTGACTGTGTGGATCACAATAAACTGTGGAAAATTCTGAAAGAGATGGGAATACCAGACCTGCCTCCTGAGAAATCTGTATGCAGGTCAGGAAGCAACAGTTAGAACTGGACATGGAACAACAGACTGGTTCCAAATAGAAAAAGGAGTACGTCAAGGCTGTATACTGTCACCCTGCTTATTTAACTTATATGCAGACTATGTCATGAGAAACACTGGATGAAGCACAAGCTGGAATCAAGATTTCCAGGAGAAATATCAATAACCTCAGATGTGCAGATGACACGACCCTTATGGCAAAAAGTGAAGAACTAAAGAGCCTCTTGATGAAAGTGAAAGAGGAGAGTGAAAAAGTTGGCTTAAAGCTCAACATTCAGAAAACTAAGATCATGGCATCCAATCCCATTACTTCATAGCAAATAGATGGGGAAACAGTGGAAATGATGACTGACTTTGTATTTTGGGCTCCAAAATCACTGCAGAGGGTGACTGTAGCCATGAAATTAAAAGATGCTTACTCCTTGGAAAGTTATGACCAACCTAGACAGCCTATTAAAAAGCAGAGACATTACTTTGCCAGCAAAGGTCCATCTAGTCAAGGCTATGGTTTTTCCAGGAGTCATGTATGGATGTGAGAGTTGGACTATAAAGAAAGCTGAGCACCGAAGAATTGATGCATTTGAAGTATGGTGTTGGAGAAGACTCTTGAGAGCCCCCTGAATTACAAGGAGATCCAACCAGTCCATCCTAAAGGAGATCAGTCCTGAGTGTTCATTGGAAGGACTGATGTTGAAGCTGAAACTCCAATACTTCAGTCACCTGATGCAAAGAGGTTGATTCATTTGAAAAGACCCTGATGCTGGAAAAGATTGAAGGCAGGAGGAAAAGCGGACGACAGAGGATGAGATGGTTGGATGGCATCACCGACTCAATGGACACGAGTGTAGGTAAACTCCGGGAACTGGTGATGGACAGGGAGGCCTGGCGTGCTGTGGTTCATGGGGTCACAAAGAGTCGGACACGACTGAGTGACTGAACCGAACTGAAAGGCTATAAAAACATCCATAATATTTGACACATTAACCTCACTTCTGGAATCTATCCTAAGGAAATAATCCACCATCACAAATATAATCTTCAACAGATACACACATACAAACACTCAAAACTAAATAGAAAACAACTCCAAATACCAAGAGGTTAAGCAAATTTCATCTACTGAATGAAATATTACTCAATTATTCCATAAATTTAAAGAGTAGTAACATCCAACCACAATGTTAATAGAAAAGCATAATGCAAAACTGTACATATATTAAAACATAATGAAGCAAAAATGTATGTAATTATACTCGTTTATTAAAAACTGAACAAATATATATTATGCGCCATGTACTTTTCTGGCTATTGAGATAAAATTCATGCATTGATGAAGTTTGTGTCCCATTGGTTTTGTATATGGCAATATTTGTAAGTAAATACACTCAAAAAACATGGGTAGGTAGAAAAAACATGGCAGGGTAGAAACATGATGGATAATGCTTTTCACCTCATTTTCAAATTTCCTCTAATGGTATATAGTCCTTATAATTTAAAGATCTCAGGAAATGTAAAACAAAGGCAAGAGATTTTAACTCACCTTTTAATGCTAGATAATTCCTTCTCAGTGTCTTTACTTCTTGTCTGAAACAATGGAAGAAACCAAAGTACTAAATTAACACATGAACTGAAATTTGCTTAAAAGCTTGGGTTTACCCTCCCAAGTGATACCTTGCTCAGTTCTGCCCAAGTCTGCAAAAATCCTTTAAATAGTTCATCGTCATCATCTCGATTTTCAGGAGTCATTTCTAAAGGCCCGGGAGGTATCAAAGGCTGTTATAAAAAATAAGGAAAAAAAAAAACTTGGTTGTCACTCTGCCCTAGAACTCAAGCTTGAGGTTTCTCTTTACTTTCAATATCTACAACAAGGGTGACATATAGTCAGCAATCAAAAATATTTGTTCAATGAATGAATGCCAAGTATCCTGTAAAGTAATAACATGTATTATCTCATTTAATTTCCTTAATAATCTAGTGAATGAAATACCACATTTCAAAGACAGCAGAATGAAACATAGAGAAGTTAATCTGTCCAAAGTTACACTGTCCATAAATAGAGTTGCTAGGAATTGATTCAGATCAGTTCAATTTCATTACTCAAAAGTTATTACTCTGTATCATTTTTTTATATCAGGGATTGTAACCCACAAGTCATGAAATCATTTTAATATGTGACAACCAACAGTGTGTTCTATTGAATGAGAAAAGAATAGACCAGAAAATACAACAGTATATCATATGTAGTAAGAGTTAAATACCATTTAACAAAAGGTTTGTTTCAGGTGTGTGTGTGTGCGCGCGTGCGTGCGTGCACGCACACAGAGTAGATTCAATGTATTTCTTATCATGGATGCATAGAGGCTTCAAAAAAATGAGCTACTCTATCCTTAGCGACTTAATTTCCAATTAGCTCTCAAAGCACCAGGCTAATGAGTGCTTTCTTCCAAGTTATAATTAAGCACTTAGATAAAAAGTATTAAAAACAGTAGGTGCTCCTGAATAAAAAATAATCTTACTCAGACAATAAATTTGGTAAATAAACTCTTTCCACTCACTGACAGCATAAATTAACTACAGTATAGGACCCCCATCATTATTATCACATATTATTATTAATACCACTATTTATTGCTTACTTACTAAGTAATATAAAACATTCAATATAATGTAAGGACCTTTATCCCTCATAACACCCCTTGTGAGAGGTTTCTGTTATTGTTGCTATTTTAAAAATAGGGAAACTGGGGCTCAGAATGGCTAAGCAGTTTACCCACAATCTGACATAGGTTAAGTCTGCAGAAATAAATAATCCAGTCTTTCATGAGTTTGAAATCTTACTCATTAAACCATGTAACAGTCAAGTATTAAATTAATGAAGTACAAATTAAACATATTTTACTTTTACTCTACTTTCAAACACTTCAAATTTTTCAGTATTTGATTGAGTTAATATATTGTATTTGCACTCTTTCTTACATTTTCATCTACTTCTAATGCTGTCTGGGCTGGGGCTGCTGGCAACGGCACTCCTGAAGGATCAACTTTTAGTAATCGCATCGACCTTCTACACCCAGTTCCATTTTCTTTTTTCTTGGGCTTCTTCCTAAGGATGGAGGGAAAACCATGTTATACTCATCAAAGAGTTATATGTATTTATTACTCTCAAGGCGATAACTTCTAGTAATGTATCTCATACATATAGTCAAACACTGCAAAGATATATATACATACCTAATTTTAATAAAAAGTTTGGAAACACGATAACTGTTCACTATGGGGAGGAAAGGGGTATTAAATTAAGACATTCATATCTAGTCAACTATTAAGCAGCCATAAAAAAGAATGAAATAGATCTGTATGTGCGACGATATGAACTCTAAGATATCAGAAGCAAAAGAGAAGGTACAGTATATGTTGAATATGGTTACATTTGCTTTTTGACAAAAAAAGACTTAACTATTTCATTGCATTTGCTTCCATATAGCTCACCTTGTAAAATCATAGAGATAACCTACTTTTTATTTATTATTTTTTCATTTAAAAAAGTAGTTCAGAGGCTTCCATGGTGACTCAGTGGTGGGGAATACACATGCCAGTGCAGGGACAGAGGTTCAATCCCTGGTTTGGGAAGATTCCACCTGCTATGGGACAAGTAAGCCTGTGTCCTGCAACTACTAAAGCTCGCACCCTGCTAATTGCAATTACTGAACTCACAAACCAAGACTACTGAACCCACGCACTCCAAAATACATGCTCTGCAACGAGAAAAAAAACAAAACCTGTGCACAACGAAGACTCAGAGAGTCAATAAATGAATAAATAATAAATAAAATAAAAATCAAAAACCTCAGAGAGATAAGATGCAGCAATCATGAAATAAAAACAATGTGCTTTTGGACATCCCTAGAGGTACAGTGGACAAGAATTCCTCCTACCAACGCAGGGTATATGGGTTGGATCCCCGCTCAAGGGAGATTTCATGCCACAGAGAAACTAAGTCTGTGTGCCACAACTACTGAGCCCATGTGCTGCAACTACTGGAGCCTGCTTGCCAAAAGTCCAGGCTCCACAACAAGAGAAGCCACCACAGAAAGAAACACACACTCCACAGCGAAGAACAGACCCCACCCAAAGCAACTAGAGAAAAGCCTGTGCAGCAACAAAGACCCAGCACAGCCAAAAGTAAATAAACTAAATAAAACTATGAAAAAGCAATTATAATCAGCCTAAATTAATTTTAAAAAACAGTTCAGAACTACCCTGGTGATACACTGGTTAAGAATCCATCTGCCAAAAAAGGGGACATGGGTTCCATCCCTGGTCTGGGAAGATTCAGATGCCATGGAACAACTAAGCCCATGTGCTGTAACTACTGAAGCTCTCGATCTAGAGCCTGAGTTCCAACTGCTAAGCCCATGTGCCACAAATACTGAGCCAACATGACCAAGCGCCCAAATTCTGCAACAACAGAAGCCAATACAATGATCAGATCATGCACCACAGCTGGAGAATAGCCCCCACTCTCAGAAACTAGACCGAAAAAAGCCTGGGCACAGCAACAAACATCCAGCACAATCAATAAATAAATAATAAATAAAATAAAAAGTTTCACATAGACAACACACTGTAATCATGAAATAAAAACAATGTGCTTTTGGATGTCCCTGGTGGTTCAATGGATAAGAACGTTCCTCCCAATGCAGGGATCATGGGTTCAATCCCTGCTCCAGGAAGACTCCATACCACAGAGCAACTAAGCCTGTGAGCCACAACTACTGAGCCCCCTTGCCAAAACTACTGAAGACCACTTACCTAGAGCCCACATGCCAAAACTACTTAGAGTTACAAATTCCAGTTCCAAGGCTAAGACTCCACACTCCCAATCTATGGGGCTGAGGTTCAATCCCTGGTCAGGGAATGAGAATCCACACACCACAACTAAAAGATCCCACATGACACAACTAAGACCCAGTGCACCCCAATCAATAATGAAAATAAAATAAGGATTTTTAAAAACCAAAAGACAAACTCCAGGGAAAACTACAGAGCTACAGATAAAATTATGAAATTAGAACATTTTGTCATACGATATAAGAAAACAGACTCAAAATATATTAAAGACTTTAACGTAAGACCTGAAACAATAAAACTCCTAGAAGAAAACATAGGTAGTACATTCTTTGACAGTGGTCTTGGAAATATTTTTCAGATATGTCTCCTCTGAAATATTTTTCAGAAAAAACTCCTTTTGTTGCACGGGCAACAAAAGCAAAAAATAAAATGTGATGTAATGAAACTTAAAAGCTTTTGCACAGCAAAGGAAAACAACAAAATCAAAATGCAACCAATTGAAGGAAAGATTTTTGAAAATGATATGTCAAATAAAGGGTTAATATGTGGGGACTTCCCTGGCAGTCCAGTAGTTAGTTGGTTAAGACTCCAAGCTTCCATTGCCGGGGACATAGGTTCAATCCCTTGGGAAACTAAGATCCTGCATGCCATGGGGACAGTCAAATAAAAGGGTTAATATTCCAAATATATGAACAGCTTATACAATACATATATAAAAAAATCTGATTAAACAATGGGCAGAGGATCTGAACAGGCATTTTTCCAAGGAAGAAATACAAATGGTCAACAAGCATAAATTAAAAGATTAGAACTACCATATGATCCAGCAATTCCACCCCTAGGTACTTATGAAAAGAAAACAAAAACACTAATTCGAAAAGATACATGCACCTCAACATTCATAGCAGCATTTTTTATAATAGCCCAGTTATGACAGCAACCTAAAAGTCCATCAACAGATGAATGGATACACACACACACACACACACACACACAGTAATACTACTTAGCCATAAAAAAGAACAAAGTCTTGCCATTTGCAACAACATGACTGAATCTGGAGGGCAGTATACTTGATGAAATAAATCAGACAGAAAAAGACAAATACTGTATATTATGACTTACATGTGGAATCTAAAACATAAAATGAATGAACATAACAAAACAGAAACACACTGACGGATACAGAGAACAAATTAGTGGTTACTAGTGAGGAGGAGGAGGAGAGGAGGGGGAATATAAGGGTAAAGGAGTAAGAGGTACAAACTACTTTGTAAAAAATAAGCTATAAGCATAGATTTATAGCATAGGAAATATAGCCAATATTTTATAATAACTATAAATGGGGTATAATCTATAAGAATTTTAAATGACTATGTTGTACACCTGAAATTAATACTGTAAATCAACTATACCTCTATTTTTTAATTAAAAATAAATTTTTAAAAAGATATGCATTGGACGAATCAATATTGTCAAAATGGCTATACTACCCAAAGCAATCTATATATTCAATGCAATCCCTATCAAATTACCAACGGTATTTTTCACAGAAATAGAAAAAATAATTTCACAATTTGTATGGAAATACAAAAAACCTCGAGAGGCCAAAGTAACCTTGAGAAAGAAGAATGGAACTGGAGGAATCAACCTGCCTGACTTCAGACTCTACTACAAAGCCACAGTCATCAAGACAGTATGGTACTGGCACAAAGACAGAAATATAGATCAATGGAACAGAATAGAAAGCCCAGAGATAAATCCACGAACCTATGGTCACCTTATCTTCAACAAAGGAGGCAAGGATATACAATGGAAAAAAGACAACCTCTTTAACAAGTGGTGCTGGGAAAACTGGTCAACCACCTGTAAAAGAATGAAACTAGAACACTTTCTAACACCATACACAAAATTAAACTCAAAATGGATTAAAGATCTAAATGTAAGACCAGAAACTATAAAACTCCTAGAGGAGAACATAGGCAAAACACTCTCTGACATAAATCATAGCAGGATCCTCTATGACCCACCTCCCAGAATTTTAGAAACAAAAGCAAAAATAAACAAGTGGGACCTAATGAAACTTAAAAGCTTTTGCACAACAAAGGAAACTATAAGCAAGGTGAAAAGACAGCCCTCAGATTAGGAGAAAATAATAGCAAACGAAGCAACAGACAAAGGATTAATCTCAAAAATATACAAGCAACTCCTCCAGCTCAACTCCAGAAAAATAAATGACCCTATCAAAAAATGGGCCAAAGAACTAAACAGACATTTCTCCAAGGAAGACATACAGATGGCACAAAAACACATGAAAAGATGCTCAACATCACTCATTATCAGAGAAATGCAAATCAAAACCACAATGAGGTACCATTACACGCCAGTCAGGATGGCTGCTATCCAAAAGTCTACAAGCAATAAATGCTGGAGAGGGTGTGGAGAAAAGGGAACTCTCTTACACTGTTGGTGGGAATGCAAATTAGTACAGCCACTATGGAAAACAGTGTGGAGATTTCTTAAAAAGCTGGAAATAGAACTGCCATATGACCCAGCAATCCCACTTCTGGGCATACACACCGAGGAAACCAGATCTGAAAGAGACACGTGCACCCCAATGTTCATTGCAGCACTGTTTATAATAGCCAGGACATGGACGCAACCTAGATGCCCATCAGCAGAGGAATGGATGAGGAAGCTGTGGTACATATACACCATGGCATATTACTCAGCCATTAAAAAGAATTCATTTGAATCAGTTCTAATGAGATGGATGAAACTGGAGCCCATTATACAGAGCGAACTAAGCCAGAAAGATAAAGACCATTACAGTATACTAACACATATATATGGTATTTAGAAAGATGGTAACGATAACCCTATATGCAAAACAGAAAAAGAGACTCAGATGTATAGAACAGACTTGTGGACTCTGTGGGAGGAGGCGAGGGTGGGATGTTTCAAGAGAAGAGCATAGAAACATGTATATTATCTAGGGTGAAACGGATCGCCAGCCCAGGTTGGGTGCATGAGACAAGTGCTCGGACTTGGTGCACTGGGAAGACCCAGAGGGATAGGGCGGAGAGGGAGGTGGGAAGGGGGACAGGGATGGGGAATACATGTAAATCCATGGCTAATTCATTTCAATGTATGACAAAAACCACTGCAATGATGTAAAGTAATTAGCCTCCAACTAATAAAAATAAATGAAAAAAAAAAAAAGATATGCAACAGAATTAAAAAAAAAAAACT